GAGGCATTTACCAGAACCAATTCCTACATTGACTCTGTCCCCCCCCCTGGCGCCACTATTGTTAAAGGCAAATGGGTCTTCCGTGTCAAGCAGCTGCCCGGCGAACTTCCTGTCTTCAAGGCCCGCTACTGTGCCAAGGGCTTCACTCAGCGTGAAGGCATTGACTACTTTGCCACTTACTCCCCCACAGCCCGTCTCCCCACTCTCCGCCTCCTTCTTGACTTAGGCGCTCGCTGGAATTGGGAGATCCACTCCATGGACGTTTCCAATGCTTTCCTCCAGGGCGAGCTGCATGAGCGCATATTCCTTGAGCGCCCCGCTGGTTTTCCTCGCCCTTTCCCTCCAGGCACTGTTTGGGAACTCAAGCGACCTGTGTATGGCCTTAAACAGGCCCCGCGCGAGTGGCACGCCAAGCTCGCCTCCACTCTTCACTCTCTTGGCTTCTCTACCTCCACTTCCGACCCCAGTCTTTTCATTCGCACATCCCCCCACAGGCTTTACATCCTTGCCTACGTGGATGATTTGGTGCTGCTTGCTGAGGACTCCGCCGATCTTGCAGCTGTCAAGAAAGCCCTGCAGGCGCGTCTCATGTGCAAGGATCTTGGCGAGCTTCGTCACTACCTCGGCATGGAGATCCGTCGTGATCGTGCTGCTCGTACCATCTCTCTCTCCCAGTCTTTCTACATTCAGTCCATCCTCCAGCGGTTTGAGATGTCGCAAGCCAAGCCGGTCTCCACCCCTCTTCCCGCTAACCATCAGCTTACTGCCCCTGCCGTCCCTGCTCCCTCCTCAGAGCTGCGGCCTTATCCTGAGCTCGTTGGATCTCTCATGTATGCTATGATGTGCACTCGCCCCGACCTTGCTTATCCCCTCAGTGTTCTCTCTCGCTTTGTTGGTCTGGGCCGCCACACTGACGTGCACTGGGCAGCTGCTAAGCGCGTCTTGCGCTATCTGCGTGCCACCTCTGACCTTGCTCTCACTCTTGGTGGCTCTATTCCTCCCGTTCTCTCCGGCTACAGTGACTCTTCCTACGCTGACTCTCGCCCTGATCGTCGCTCATCTCAGGGCTATGGTTTTACTCTTGGCAGTGGTCTCATCAGCTGGCGCTCCACTCGCTCATCCTCTGTCTGCCTTTCCACCTGCGAGGCTGAGTTGTACGCAGGCACATTGGCGGCTCAGGAAGCTCGTTGGCTCTCCTTTCTCCTTGCTGAGCTTGGTCACTCTCAGTCCTCTGTGACGCTCTCCTGTGACAGTGCGAGCATGATCCATCTCACTGAAAATCCTGTCTATCACGCCCGCAGCAAGCATATCGAGGTCCGCTATTTCTTTGTGCGTGAGCTGGTGCAGTCTGGCTCCTTACAACTTCGCAAGGTGGACGCTACTGCCAACCTTGCAGACATTTTCACCAAGGCCCTCCTGCGTGCACCGCACCGTTTCTATGTGCGCGAGCTTGGGCTCACGCGTCTCTCCACTTCTGGGGGTGTGCCGGTTCGCTAGGTGTTTTGCTCCAGAGCTTCACCTAGCCTGGGGGTGTGTTGGAGTAGGCTAGAGCTCGCTCTGGCCTTTATTTTGGTGTTCTTATATTGTTATTTCTCTGGGCTTAGAGCGAGTTACGCACTCAGGTTCATTTTAGGTTCATTTCATAATTGTTAGAACAAACCGAACACACCCTAGGTTCAATTAGGGTTTCCAACCCTCTCTCTTTTGTATCTCGACATTCTCCTCCTAGTTCAACTTCTTCAACCTCACCAAAGCCTCTCGCCATCCATGGCTTTCCTTACTTTAACACGGCAGGTGGAGGTGTGGTTTCAGAACCGGCGGGCGCGCACCAAGGTGAAGCAGACAGAGGCGGAGCTTGAGGGGCTTAGGAGGCGATGCCAGCAGCTGGCCGAGGAGAATAAGCGGCTCAAGCTGCAGCTGGCTGCGAGGGAGAGGGATGAGGAGAACAAGCGGCTCAAGCTGCAGCTGGCTGCGAGGGAGAGGGCCAAAGGGGAGGCGAGGGAGGGGAGGGGGAAGAGGGAAGAGAGGGAGTTGGGGAGGGAGAGGGAGAGGGAGGGGAAGAGGGGGAGGGGGAGGGGGAAAGTGGGAGGAGGATAGGGGGACGGATGCTGGGGATGAGATGAAGAGGGTGAAGGTTGAGAGTGAGATTGAGTGGGAGGTGTGTGGCTCGTGCAAGAGAAATGAGAAGCAAGGGGGTGAGCGAGGGGAGGAGGAGGCAGCGCGACATTCTGTGGCATCGAATGAGGAGGATGCTTCGGCTGGGCAACACTTGAGGATGTTTTTGTGACCTTGATTGGTTGTGAAATCAGAGGGTGTAGATGTGTAATGTACATAGGTTATTGTATGTAGATGTCTTCATGCATTGAATGAAGCACGGAAGTTACACAGCAAAGAGACGAACAAAGGGAAATACCTGGAATATCCGGTGTTCCTAAATTCTAAGAGGCGTCTTTAGTCCTGTCCGACTTGCTCTATCAACGCAGCCGCATCGCACAATAGGTTGTTCATCGCGTGAACGGCCGCACTTGTAGCTGCGTTTCCCCGCGCACCAGCCAGCAAACTCCAACACGGGTGCTCTGATCTGAAAAGCCCGCAAACAGTTCAGTCACACTCACGACGGCCGCAGTTACAGCTACTACCTGTCGCACGCAGCTATCGTCGCCTGTCGCTTCGTCAGACGTACGCTCGTCGAATGTCGTACGCCGCAATCGTTGCCTGTCGTACGCTCTATGTCGCCTGTCCCCGTTCTCTACTACCGTCGCCTGTCATACGCTGCTATCATCGCCTGTCGTACGCTGCGACGTTCTGGGGTTCGCACGCGGGTTCCCACAGCACCGCTTGCACGAGCGCGCACCCCGCAGCCGCCGCGCCGCCTACCAAACTCCACCGCATCAGCCGCGGCCGCGTGACGCGCGGCCCGTAGTGCATCGCGCAGAAGGGCAGCGCGGCGAACGAGCCGTAGACGGCGGCTATACGCGTTACTAGCCGGATGTGCTCGGAGCACGTGAGCGCGTCCTCTCGCATTAGGTCGCCCGCGGAGGCTCCTAACGGCTGACGGAGCGCCATCAGCGGCAGCGAAACTAGTGCTATTTTCGAGCGATTTTGCGACGAACGAAAAGGAGAGAGACGAAAGACGGGCGATCTGCAAACTACAACCTTCAGTTAGCGGGAATATCATGTGAGCAGTGAACTCGAAAGTCACCGCAAGCAAAGCCGCTACTATCACGTACGCCTAAAAAGGGTGCAGCATAAACAAGTGGTGAACTTAGAAAAATAGCCTAGGAAGAAAACGTAAGTGGCCCCAACCCCAAATTCTCCAGCAAAGATGTGACAATGCCATAATCCCAGCCTCCCTTTCCCCCTCCCCCACCTTCCCCCTCCCCAGAAATCAAATGTTACCCAGTATAATCACACAATGTGCAGTGCACCTCTCCCACCACTAGAACCATATCAATCACAAACTTATTCCAATTACTAACCCCAACCCAACCAACTTCATTTCCACAATCTCACTCGTAGCACCTTCAGCGACGGTCGTAATACGAGCCTCCATCCGTCCAATCGTCTTGCGCGGTATACTCCGATTGAGCATCAGACATCCCATCCCCCCTCACCCCACCCCCCTGATACCCCCCATGCCCCTGCCCTGGATACTCAGACCCTACCTCACTCTCAGCATACCCCCCCTCTCCACCATACCCACTGTGAACACTCCTCTGTCCATACTCAGTCGCCCCATCATCCATCACCGTATCCCCATCCCCATGATGCCCCATCTCATCCCCATCCTCGTTATAGTACGTCCCATCGTCATGCACCGCGCTCGGATCGTACACCTCATCCTCCTCACCATCCGGCCCGATATAATTCCCTTCCTCATCGTAATATGTGTCCTCGTCGCCCTCTCCCTGCAGCGGCTGCTGCATGTCTGCCATTTGGTATTCCAAAAATGCCTCGTCTTTCGCCTTGCCCTCACGGTATCCTCGAATGAGGCAGAAGCAGCAGATCGCGACAACAAACAGGAGAATCCCGAGAACGATGCCCCCCACTTTCAGCCAATAGGACGTGTTCTGCACTGTGGTCGTGCTGCTGCTGCTGCTGCTGCTACTGCTGCTGCTGCTACTGCTGCTGCTGCTGGGGGGGCTGCTGCTGCTGGTGCCACCGCCGCTGCTACTGCTGCTGTTGCCAGCTGTGGTAGGAGGCATGGATCCCGAGCCTGCTCCTCCCGAGCCTCCACCTCCGGCTGGGGGAAGCGGAGCGGCATTCGCATCATACGTGGTCAGGACAGTCAGATCTGATGCAGGATCCACACGAGGATCGGGGCCGGGCGGGAACTTTTGTCTGCAAGTGAAGTTGCAGTTGGTGGGCTGGGTAAGCCGGAAAACACCCAGATGGGTCAGGATATAAAGCGTGGCATTTATATCCTGCCCCCAGGCGAATACCGAACCAAAATTAGGGCGGTACGGGCCTTGCATCGGGCATTGGATCGGTGAGCTGGGCGCGCAGGAAACGTTGAGGGGTTGCGAGCCGAGGGGGAAGGAGCCGCTATAAGGGGGATTTTCTGTAGCGACGTAGAATTGGTTGTTCCTGTCGCTGAATAGATATCTGGTAGGGTTCGGGGCGAGAGAATACGGATTGAGAATTGATTTATTGAGATCATGTAGAGTACTACTAAGCATTGAGAAGAGGAACGAGCTTTGACACCAGGGAAGAAAAAAAAAAAAAAAGGAGCCAAACGATGCATAGAGATTGGCGGAGGAGTTAGCGAATTGAACAAACAAGTGATTTCGATATAATATGAATGCATCATATTCCAAACCTAACCATATAGGTGCAAACCGTTTCAAAATCGCACCTTCCAAATAAGCGCGTGCCCTCGTATCCTCTCGCGTAGAACAGCCCAACCACACTGGTAATGTTACTCCACACGCATTGGAACGAAGGAAGCTTCTGGTTCGGCACGGGGTGCGGCTCGCTAGCATTGTGAGTGGACCCACAAGTCACCTCGCTACAATAACACACCTTCCATACAAGCACGCATCCTCGTAGCCTCTTGCGTAGAACCCCCCAACCACGCTGGTAGTGTTCCTCCACACGTATTGGAACGACGGCAACTTCTGGTTCGGAACAGGGTGCGGCTCGCTAGCATTGGCGTACTCCCGACCCTCGTACCACTTCCAGCCGTAGTTACCGCCGCTGGTTACCACGTCTACCTCCTCCCACTTGGTCTGTTGGCGAAGGACGGGAGGGGAGCAGACAAAGGATGGGGGAGAATGGGAAGGCTAGCATTGGCGTACTCCCGACCCTCGTACCACTTCCACCCGTAGTTGGCATCGCTGGTTACCACATCTACCTCCTCCCACTTGGTCGGTTGGTGAAGGGAGGGGAAGGAAGGGAAGCCGAAAAAAGGGAGGAGAATTTAAGGGAGGGGAAGGAATGGAGAGGAAGGAATGGAGGGAAAGGATTTGAGGGGAAGGTATGGAGGGGAAGGAAGTGGGGGCAGAATGCCCTCAGGGGGACACTCACCCATCCGACATCCCTGCACATCATGACCGAAGGTCCGAGTAAATCAAAGGTGCAGTTCCAGGGGTCGTGAAAGCATAGCGCAAACACCTCCCCTCGCCCCCACTTCCCCTTTCCCCTCCTCCCAGTTCTCGTCTTCCCCCCACAATTCCTCACAAACTCAATGCTTCCAACATCCTACAAGCAGCACTCACCCATCCGACATCCCCGCACATCATGACGGAGGGTCTGAGCAGGTCAAAGGTGCACTTCCAGGGGTCGTGGAAGCCCAGAGCGAACACCTCCCCGCGCCAGTCCCTTGCTCCCGTTACCCCTCCCGCTCCCCCTCCCCTTCCCTTCCCCATCCCACCCACAAGCAGCACTCACCCATCCCACGTCTCCACACATCATAACAGAAGGCCTCAGGAGGTCAAAGGTGCACTTCCAGGGGTCGTGGAAGCCCAGCGCAAACAAAACCCCCTTACCCCACGAGTCCCCACATTACCCCCCAGGCCCCTTACATGAAACAACTTCCCCACATCCTGTGACTCACCCATCCAACATCCCCGCACATCATGACGGAGGGTCTGAGGAGGTCAAACGTGCACTTCCAGGGGTCGTGGAAGCCCAGCGCAAACACCTCCCCGTGCCAATCCTCGCTTTACCCCCCCAAGTGCTGTACACAAAAAAGCCTTCCCTCTTGCCACAAGGGGCAATCGTGACTCACCCATCCAACGTCTCCACACATCATAACAGAAGGCCTCAGCAGGTCGAAGGTGCACTTCCAGGGGTCGTGGAAGCCCAGCGCAAACACCTCCCCGCGCCAGTCCCAGTCGAGTGCGTGGGGGTTGTCCAGAGGAATGCCGTACGCCCCCAGCAGGCCCCTGCTCCTGATCTCATCCTCGCCTGAGAGGGGGAAGGGGAGGAGTGGGGAGCAGTGAAGGCGAAGAGTGGGGAGGAGGGAAGGGGAAGTGAGGGGAGCAAAGAAGGGGAAGAATGGGGAACAATGAAGGCGAAGAGTGGGGGGAGGAGGGAAGGGGAAGCGAGGGGAGCAAGGAAGGGGAAGAGTGGGGAACAATGAAGGCGAAGAGTGGGGAGGAGGGAAGGGGAAGAAAGGGGAAAGGGGAAGGGGAAGTGAGGGAGGGGAGGAAATTATGCAGCAGTTGGGGTAAAGAAACAGAGAGGCGATGGCTGGGCACACCACACCACACCACACCACACCACACCACACCAACCCACCCATTCACCCACCCACCTGGCTGGCTGATCCCATTGAGCACGTCCAGCCTTAAGACCTTCCCGTGAAACGCCTTGGGGTTCTGCGCCAGGTTTAGAGGGTCCAGTTCCCCTCCTCCATCCCCCGCCATCACATAGAGCATGCCGTCGGCGCCGAATCGGATCTGCCCGCCGTTGTTGTTGATGAAGGGTTGCCCCAGCCGCACTATGTAGCGCACTATCGTGGCCTCTATGCTCGTGCGCTGCAGGGGGGGAGAAGGGGAAGTGATTTGGGAGATGCAGGAAGGCGCAGGGAAGGCAGAAGTGCCGAGGGGGTGGGAGAGGGGAAGCGGAGGGGTGTGTGAGCGAGCAGCACCCGCCATCCCCCACCATCACATAGAGCATGCCGTCGGCGCCGAATCGGATCTGCCCGCCGTTGTTGTTGATGAAGGGCTGCCCCAGCCGCACTATGTAGCGCACTATCGTGGCCTCTATGCTCGTGCGCTGCAGGGGGGGGGGTTGGGGGAAGGTTGGGATGTGTCAGAAAGGGCATCAGATGTTGCTGATGAAAGGCCGCCCCAGCTGCACTATGTAGCGCACTATGAACCTCACCACACTGGCTTCTATGGTTGTGGTGCTGATAGCTTGGGGAGGAAGGGGGAGTGGTGGGGATGATTGGGCGAGATGAGCTGGGAGAAGAGAAGATCCTGCCGCTGTACCTCACCCCAGTCCCCCGTGCGGCAGCACACCCACACACAAGCCATGTCATGTCACTCTCGCTGTTGCCTGCTGTCTTCCAAGCGTAGCGTACCGGGAAGCTCTTAGCGGGCGGGCGTGTAGAGGGTATCACTGCATGGGGAGAACTCGGCGACAACAGTCACGTTCCGGCACAGGTCTCCCATGCCAGTTACCAACACACTAGCCGTTCTGCTGGCCCCTGCCCCCAAGGCGTACCTTGGAGATCTTAGAAGGGGTGCAAATCGTATCACTACACGCAGAGAACTCAGCCACCACAGTCACGTTCCGGCACAGGTCCCCCGTGCCCCAGCGGGGATGAGGGAGGATCCAGCTGTTCAAACCACAGCCAGCGTACCTTGGAGATCTTAGAAGGGGTGCAAATCGTGTCACTGCACGCAGAGAACTCAGCGACCACAGTCACATTCCTGCACAGGTCCCCAGTGCCCCACCGGCCGTCCGGATTGGCCGCCTTGACCTTGTCTGCCGTGCAGTCCACAGCATCGTAGCACCCGCACATAGCAGCCTTGCAGTCAGAGTTGACTGATGAGTCGCAGGTGAAGGACACGAAGAGGCGGCCGTTGCTGGTGTAGTCGGGGTGAAAGGCGATCCCCACTGCGCCCTGCTCAGCGTCTTGTGCCACCCTGTGGATGAGAAAAGGGGAGGGGCAAGGGGGGTGGACAGTGGGGGGATAGAGAGGGAGGGGGAAAAGAGGGGGAGGGGGGAAGGGCAAAGTCACCTTGTGAGAATAGACACCACCGCCCCCTGCTCCGCGTCCTGTGCCACCCTGTTGGGAACGAATGGAAGGAGAGAAACAAGGGTGACGGATGCTGAATTCCCACCACTAAGCCCCCTCACATTCTTCCAAGCCCATCCCATCCACTCCCGCTTCCTCCCCCTATCAAAACATTACCGCCCTCAACCCTCCCAGACCCCTTCCCTTGCAGCCCCACTCCCTCCCAACCCTCCTCCCCACAAGCCCCCCCCTTCCAATACCCTTCCTCTCCCGCGTCACTCACAAGCCACTGAGTCAAGAAACGGTGAGCCCCCATCCGAAGAAAGCTGGTCCGACGACCCCGGCTCGGGCCCGTAATGCCTTACCGCCCTTGGCCTTCCCAGCCCCTTCCCTTGCAGCCCCCCTCCCTCCCAACTCTCCTCCCTCCCAGGCCCCATCCCTTGCAGCCCCCATCCCTCCCAGCCATCCTCCTTCCAGCCACCTCCCTCCCGATTTCCCCCCACCCCGAGTCACTCACAAGCCACTGATGTCAAGAAACGGAGAACCCCCATCCGAAGGAAGCTGGTCTGACGACCCCGGTTCGGTCTCGTAAGGCCTTACCACCCTCGCCCCTCCCAGTCCCCATCCCTTGCAGCCTCCCTCCCTCCCAAACCTCCTTCCTCCCAACCCTCCTCCCTCCCAGTTCCCATCCCTTGCAGGCCCCCACCCAACTCTCCTCCCCACCAATCCATTCCCTCACGATCCCTCCCCTCCCCCGCATCACTCACAAGCCACTGATGTCAAGAAACGGTGAGCCCCCATCAGAAGGAAGCTTGTCAGACGACCCTGGCTCGGGCAGATCGTAAAGAAACAACCTGCCCGCGCGCTCGAGGAAAAACGCGCGCCGCGATTGGTCCGGATGCGGGGTCATGGCCACATAGTAACTATTCTCCTCGCTCTTGTCATTCTTCGTACTCAACCCAATCTGCTCCACACACATGTTGCTAACGGGCGGTAACACATCTTCCCCGAATTCATCCGGGTAATCCACCGGTTTACCCCGGTAGCAAATCTTCGGCCCGTCGCCCGGGTTCTTATTCGGGGGCATAAATTGGCGGCAAAACTCGCCCTTAGTTAAGTAAACATCATAAAGCGAGATGTAGCGCGGGTCATTGGTGGCAACGAAAGGGTTGAAGGGCATGGCAACCATGCCGCAGACGTCCCAGACGGTGGAGCAGAAGGGCTGCGTCTCCACAGGGTCACGGTTGGACTGGGCCGTGCAGAGGTAGGGCACGTCCGCGTAGCGCCCTGTGTGGTCGCGCCGGTACACCTGCGAGGCGTAGGGGTCGCACTCCTGGTGGGGTGGGGGACGGGAAGGAGGGGGTACACGGGCATGGGTAAGGGCGGAGGGAGAGTAGCAAGGGAGAGGGGGAAGAGGTTGGACTGGGCACGTCCGCGTAGCGCCCTGTGTGGTCGCGACGGTACACCTGCGAGGCGTAGGGATCGCACTCCTGGTGGGGTATGGGTGGGAGGGTGGAAGAAGGGAAAAGAGGAGAGGGAGAGGGGGAAAAGGGAGGAAAGGGAGGTTGGAGGGGGTTGGGTTGTTGGGCATGGCAATCATGCAGTAGACGTCCCAGGCAGCACTGCTTGCATTCCACATGCGCAGGACTCACGGCGCGCAGCACTGCTTGCGTTCCACACGCGCAGCACTCACAGCAAGGAGAACCTAGACCTTGCTCATCCATACACAGGGAAACCCATTCCTTTCCAGCACACACACACAGCAGCACTCACGGCGCATATCTAGTTCCAGCGCGCGGAGGCAGTTCTTGGCGCCGTGGTTGCTGCCCATGGCGTTGCTGTAGGTGAGCAGATTCTTCGCGATCTTCACGTTTCGGTCGTTCATGCACCTCTCATGGTATGGAAAACCCATACCTTGACCATACACACCCAGACCTTTCCAGTCCACACAAACAGCAGCACACGCGCAGCACTCACAGCGCACAGCACGAGCTCCAGCGCGCGGAGGCAGTTCTTGGCGGCAGGGTTGTTGCCCATGGCGTTGCTGTAGTTGAGCAGATTCTTCGCGATTTGCACGTTCCGATCGTTCGTGCAGCAGCTCTCGTTGTTGTACTGCCGGCAGATCTGCAGCTGGTCCTTCGGAGTCTGCGGTTGCGCTGAAGGGATGGGGCGGGGGAGGGGAAAGCGGCAAGGGTGGCTTCGGGTTGACTAAAAATATAAATTGTTCCGCGCGTTCGCGCAGCAGCTCTCATTGTTGTACTGCCGGCAGATCTGCAGCTGGTCCTTTGGGGTATGCGGTTGCGGTGATGGAATGGGGCGGGGGTACGAGCACGGGAAATGAGGACAGGAAGGGGGAAGCGGAAGGGTGGATTTGGGTTGACATAGAGAGAAATGTTTCGCGCGATGTGCAACCGCTCAGGTTGTTGTCATGCTGGCACAACTGCAGTTGGTCATAGCGGATCTTTCATAGAGCGAAAGGGGGAACGATGGAAGAGTAAGGGGATGGATGTTTTTTAGAAATGTAATGCGAGGGACGGATGTGCGCTTGCAGGATAACGAACTGACGGTCTAATGTGTGCTTGAAGTTTTATACGTTGATGGATCGAAGGACTATACGCTGACGGAATGACGTGTGCTTGAAGGATAATAAGCACGAACAGACGCCTGACTGAAATATTGAAAGCTGACGGACTGAAAGACGACTAGATTGTCGAAAAGAAAACTGACGGCTGAAGGACTCGCAAGTAAATCCGACTACTTATTCGAGCATCTTCGCAAAGATCAGACAAAAACAGAGCGGACGACGGAAGTAACGGTCGGGATTCGTCAGCTTAGAAAGAAAGCATTTTGAAGAATGTCCTCGCGCATACTTACAGGAATCGAGGCACAGCTTTTGAGCCGAGGCATGACCGTCGATCCCGACCAGCATCAGCACTGTCGCCACTAGTAGCAGCACGCTGACTAGGCGCCGCATTTTCGGCGAATGAACTGAAGGATACAATAAATAAATGAAGGTAACGCTCCTGAAGTAGAGCGGGATTCTCTAACGCGTTCAGGAGCTGGGGTAGTTTCTAAGACCTAATAGAGCTTCGTTCAGCCCACGTTAGACTCAGCTGAAGACAGTCGTTAGAAGGGCCAGACTAAGAACCGGAAAAGAGGCTTTGAACACGTGCTTCTGGGAATAAGTATAGAGCGAAGTGCCTCTATTCTATGTTCCAGCGCAAATCAGAAGTCGATGTGAGCGTCTTCGCTCTACTTTCCATGCAGAATAACCAACATGTTTAAAAGCCGTCAAGGCGGCTAAATAAGCGACACAACATGCGCGTTGCACGGCGTCGCATCGCCCAACAGCCGCCCTTCCTGAACAACTAGAATAAGTACGAAATGGGGAATGCGGTTTCCTTCAATATGAAATGGGAAAGTATATCCCCGCTCCTGACTTTCAGATTTCTCTCATATTCAGCCCTAGGTTTACTCAAAAAGCACCACTTTCTAGAATTTCTCTCACGCGAGGCCCAAAGTATGTTCAAAAGTGGTCCTGCGGGGCGATTTTTTCGACACGTGTCCTCTTGTTACACCATCTGACGAACTTCCACGCATGGAAAATTTGGACGGGGGCAAAAAACATAAAACCCCTAGAGAACCAGGACACATTCGCGGGAGGGATCAACCCTAAACACCTAGCAGGTCCCGTGTTTAGGGTTGCTCCCTCCCGAAAATGTGTAATGGTCCTTTAGGGGTTTTATGTTTTTTTGTCCCGTAAAAACTTTTCCGGCGCGAAAATTGCCCTGACAAACGGTTAGTTCAGAGTGGAAGTGCGTCAGCTGGTAACAAAACGACACGTGTCGAAAACTTCGCCCCGCAGGACCAGTTTTGAACATACTTTGGGCCTCGCGTGAGAGAAATAATGGAAAGTGGTGCTTTTTGAGTAAACATAGGGCTAAATATGAGAAAAAACTGAAAGTCAGGAGCTGGGATAGACTTTCCCATATGAAATTCTCGAGGCTGCCCCTCGCTGCTACATGGCAGGCGGCGATAGGAGACTGAGGGGAGGAGGAGGCGGAAGTTCGCAAGGAAAATATTGCGGGGGGAGGCAGAGTGTGCGCAGGAGAGCGGTTGGGGGAGTCTGGGTGGGGCGAGAATGATGTTCGGGTTGGCTTGCCCTTGGTTGCGGAAGAGCTCCGCGCACAGAGTGATGATGCTCCGCTGATGCCGTACATTTCTCCGCCACGCGGGGGTGTGTGGCTGTGAAACCGCGGAGCGGAGTCGCTGGCAGGGAGGTTTAGTGCAGCTCCGCATGAACAGTGCTGAAGGACCCATCAAAGTAGGACCAGACGAAGGCTGGCAGTGATGGGAATCAGATCGCTCAGGTTGGCAGACGAAGGCTGACGGAACGTTAGAACAGCCTAGCGATATTCGTGAACGTCGTCGTTGTTCTGAAAACTGCCTGAAGAAGACCATGGTCCTCGGGATTGGATCATTGGATTTTGTCAAGCTATCGCGTATATTTTTAACGGATGGATTCAATATTTGTGAACTAAATACACCTGAATGCAAGAAGCTGAGGAGCCTTCCTGGAACTTCATTAGATGCAGCAGAGAAAACACCTACGTATGATTAACATTACAACTACAAACAGTTTGAAGTCCCAGCTTTACCGAAGAATGATTCACATGTAAGCTTTGGGATCCAGGGTCTTGAGATCCACCTGGATGTCCTCCAAGCCGTCCCTGGAAATTGGAATCAGAGGTCAATTGCATCAGGGTCCATGTCAGCATCCTAATAGACACAGAAGTGATCTAAAGAGATTCAAAAGTGCGAAAGACGCAGAAACACTCACACAAAAATACAGAAATGAGTCCGATCCATGCACTGTGCACGCAAGCAAGCGGACTGAGGGAAACGTTATTGAACATCTAACCATAACCGTTTTGGCAGCTTCTTGCTCACCCCCCAACACTTCCCACCTTTTCTTGCCCATCCCAACCTCGCTCGACATATTAGACATGTCAATATTCAAGGGACCACGCACCTGTTTCGGTACGTGCTGATCTGCCCTAAGAAAAAAGAGGCCCACTCACCTGTTCTTGTACAAGCTGGTTATTCAGCATGATTTAAAACCACCCACCTCTTCTTGTACGTGCCGATCTTCTCCGTTGCCTCCTTGGCAAAGGCAGCAATGTCCGTCTTGGCCATGCTCGTCTCCAGCTGCTGCTCCAACGGCTCCAAATCACTGTCCTTCAGCCCCAGCCTGGCGGGATGGGAGAGAGGATGGACGGGAGAGGGGAAGAAGGGGTGGAGGGAGGGGGCTGAGGGGGTTAGTCAAGGCAAAGGCAGCAATGTCCGTCTTGGCCATGCTCGCCTCCAGCTGCTGCTCCAACGGCTCCAAAACACTGTCCTTCAGGCCAAGCCTGGCAGACGGGATGGGAGGGAGAGGGGAAGAAGGCGAGAAAAAGGGGGGTTGGAAAGGGCTAGTCAAGGAACAGAGCAGCGGAACCAACGGCTGTCCTTCACATCATCCCCCACCAGCGAAACAAAGCACAGTGCCACACCATCAGCAGAAAAGTTGACAGCCGCACTCACTTCTTGTTGATAGCATGGACCCCCTCCTGAAACATCGCCGTGCCCTTCACATCGTCCCCCACCAAAACAAAGCCCAGCGCCATACCATAAGCAGAAACAGCATCTTCCTTGGTTCGCAGGTGCACTCACTTCTTGTTAATAGCATTGACCTCCCCCTGAAACAGCGCCATGCCCTTGGCATCATCCCCCACCAGCGCCTTCCCCAGCTTCTTCTTACTTCTTGTTGCATGCACACTCCGAAAGGTCAAACAGAGAACTCACTTCTTGTTGATAGCATTAACCTCCTCCTGAAACAGTGCCATGCCCTTGGCATCATCCCCCACCAGCGCCTTCCCCAGCTTCTTCTCAACGCTGTCCAGCGCTGCGAACATGAGCTTCTCCGCTCCTAGCTTGTCCTCCACTCCCAGCCTGGGTGGGTGCACAGAGGTGGCGTGAATTGGAGCCAACGGGAGAGGGATGTGTGAGGAAAGAGGGAAGAGGGTAACGCCTTCCCCTTTCCCCGCATTCCCCAGCTTCTTCTAAACGCCGTCCAGCGCTGCAGAGGTGGATGGGATGGGATGGGATGGCTGGGATTGCATGCATGTCTGCATGTTACCTGTTATGAGGTCTCATTACCAAGTGCTCATTACAGGATGAAACACCGAACATTGCTAAAGAATTTTCGTTACAGAGGAGAGGAGCAGCACGACGATCCACTCACTGCCTGCGGATGATGCGGGATTCTTCCAGGAAGCTGCGCACGTCCCGCGAGTCCTCCTCTGCTGACTCGAGCAGGTTGGAGAGCTTCTCGGTGAACGAGGGGATCCCCAGGCTGGGACGAGGGGGCGAGAGGGGCGGAGTGGGGTGGGGAGGGGTGGGGAAGGGAGCAGAGGAAAGCCTTCTTGACTCCAGCAGGTTGGAAAGCTTCTTGGAGAATCAGGAATACCCACGCTTGGATGAGAGGGCGAGACAGGGGAAGGGTGGTCCCGACTTACCTTTTACGGATGTTCTTCACGGCTGCAGTGTAGGCCTTGGTGGCCTTGTCGTGTCGTCAGCAGCGTGCATGGGGATGGGGAGAGAATGCAGAAGGACGAGAACGGAGGAGGAAGAAGATGAGGGGTGCATGGTTGGACTGGACTCACCTCTCTCGGATGCTCTTCACAGCAGAAGGATAGGCTTTGGTGGCCTTGTCGTCCGCAGCGTGCATGGAAAATGGGACGAGGATGAGCGGTGGATGATAGCATGGGCAGTCTGCGCATCTCTCTCGCGGATGTTTTTAACAGCAGCAGCGTACGCCTTGGTGACCTTGTCGTGTCGTCAGCAGCGTGCATGAGGATGGGATGAAGGAGGTGAGGAGAGGAGTAAGAGGGGGGGTATGGGGTGGTCTAACGAGCCATACATCTCGCGGATGTTCTTCACAGCAGCGGCGTACGCCTTGGTGGCCTTGTCGTCAGCAGCGTCCATGGGAATGGGATGAGGATGAGGGAAGGAGAGGAGGGTGGCATGGGGTGATTTGTTAAGCTCACCCTCACGACGCGACTCACCTCTCCCGAATGTTCTTCATGGCAGCAGCGTAGGCCTTGGTGGCCTTGTCATCAGCAGCGTCTAAGGGGATGGGAACCTTCTTGAGACCTTCCAGATAAGACCTGAATGACGCCTGCTGCTTGATAAACGCCGCCTTCACCACATCCTCTGGTGGGAGGGGTGGGGGAGAAGAAAATGGGAGGGTGAGGGGTGGGTGGGGATGGGAGGTAGCAGGAGAAATTGAAAAAAGGGAGCAAACACTCAATGCACCTACGACCAGAATGACGCCTGCTGCTTGATAAACGCCGCCTTCACCACGTCCTCTGGTGGTTGGTGGTTGATGGTTGGGAGGGGATGAGGAGCGGGGGTAAGAGGGGGGATGGGAAGGTCGAAGCGGAAGATGAGAGGGGGAAAGAATGACAGACTTTCAGGCGCGACACGTGATGAGGCCGGAGAGTGGGAGTCGGGGGTGGGGGATTGGGAATGGGTGAGGGGGAGATGGGGAGTGGGAAGTGCGTACGTACCTTCAGCGGGAGCAGCAGTAGCGAATCCGCGGGCGACATTCGCCGCAAGCAGCGCGGATGCTGGCGCAGCGGGGGCGAGCCTTGCGAACACCGCCCTGCCCTGTTGTGGGGGAAGGGGACGGGAAAGGAGTGGCGAGCGGTGAAGAGGGAGAAGTGGGAACGGAATAAGGGGGGGAATTCCGCAAGAAACGATGCTGGCGGAGCGGGGGCGAGCCTTGCGCACACCGCCCTGCCCTGTTGCGCGGACACCGGGAAGAGGGGAAGGGGGCGGAGGAGGAATGGGGGAAGGAGCAGAGGGAGGAGTGAGGAAAAGAGTAAGGAGAGGAGCGAGAGGAAGAGTGGAGGAGGATTTGAAAGAAAAGGTAGAAAAGGGACGAGAGGAGAAAAGGGGGAGGGTAGGATGGGGGTAAGGGGGGAAGCGTGGGGGGAAGGGAGAGTATATGTCGTCGGAAGCACGATGGGGATCGAAGGACCAGTCGAGGATCGCCGGGGACGTAAGGGAGAGGACATGGTGAGAAGAACTCTATTCTATTTTTGAGGCTCCTCAAAAGTATGGCGTGCGAAGAAGGATGGGAATCGAAGGATCGGGACGAGGATCGCCAGGGAAATAAGGGAGACGACATGGTGAGAAGAACTCCTGTCGTGTTATCGGGACAGCTGCTAACGAACACAGCTAGCTTCCCCGGGAAGTCGGCTGACAGGTGACGACACGTATCTGCCCCACTCGGCTCTAACCTTACAGACCGATTTTCGAGGCGCCTCTAAATCCGGCTTACAGACACAGCTGCGTTCATTGGAGATTTGGCTGACAGCTCAACGTGCGTTGTCATACAGACACGCATTGTCCAACAGACAAATCTAACATCGTTCGTAATCCTACAGATCGCATCCGAGCATAGCAGAGCAGAGGATCTTTTGAGTCGACTCAAAAGTCAACTCGGCAGCAACGCGGCACGAAAAGGTTAACCTAAGTGAGGCCTGCTTTCGAGACGTCTCGACACTCGATCGCATTCGATTAAAGCACCATCTAGGAGTACTGAAACGTCGAGGCGCGTCAAACTCGAAGCATCTCAAACTCGATACCAGTCGAACCAAAGCGCGCCAACGCACCACGCGCACTGTGAGCTAAACGACAATAAATAGTTCCCTGAAACGCGACAATATGTCTTTCAGCGACAAAACGTCTCTTAGGTTTCTCTGCCAGCGACGTACGGCGAGCGCGAGGAGGCGAGAGCTGGAGCGAGCAGCCATCGGTGACGACTCGAAATAGGAGTGATCAGCGGGACGGAAGTAAAGCGCGAATGCAGGCGAGCGGAATCGGAGCGGAAGGATCTGGCGGAACGGACGACGGGGATCGTGCGATCGGAGGTGGCGGCTCACGAGGACAGAGGCCTAGCGATACTCGCTGTAGAAAGAGCTGTAGGATGGTGATGGCGCTGGTGGGTCTATGCAAGTGAGTTGCTCGCAAAGGGTGAGGAAGAACCGAGGGAGGAAGCAGGGGAAAGCAAAAGAGAAGTCGTTGCATCTACAACGTATATTTGAAGAACCCGATTATTGAATTATGCTACAGTTATATATAACAAGCAAACAAACAAGCAAACTAGCAAGAAAATTAGTCCAGCCATCATGTTAGTGAGCTTTGTCAATGACCAAAAAAGGGTTAAAGCCTAAGTTCCAGATCCAGATCTGTTGCATCTTGGAACCCATGACCGCCCCCATTCAGCTTGCGCCCTCCATTGTTCTGTGCATCTTGACAGTATGCACTTGCGGCGCCTGAGGCTCCAATCCATGCTCCTGCTGACCCTGCTGGTATTGCTACTGCTGCTGTTGTGGCAGGTGTTGCTGGTTCAGGAATTTGCAGCTGCATGATCAAACCACGCGCAAGCGTCTTCATCTGCAGCTCTGCTGCTCCTGCCGTGATTTCTCCTCGACCAAGCAGGGCCTGTGCGGCCTGCAGCTGGGACAGCAGCTGCGCCTGAGCCTGTGTCCGTCCTTGCCCCGCTATCTGCTCAATCCTGCTCACAATAGCAGAAACAAGCGCACTGCGTAGTGCGTGTGCCCCGGACAATCCACACGTGCCCTGTGATGCACCTGATGCTGCGGCTGAACCAGACGCTGCTTCAGGAGCTAGTAATACTCCTGCTGAGGGCGCCCCTATTCCTGCAGCACCCACTCTGGCAGGTGGTGGTGATGATTCACCTTTAGCAGTTAGTGGAAATGGAGAAGTGGAAAATCGAAGTCTCGCAGAAGGGATGGAGGATGGGGTAGAGGATGGGAAGTAAGATGAGCTGTATGGGGTGGCAGGAGCAGGGGAGTGGGCGGGAAAGGCAGCAGTTGAAGCAGCAGGGAGAGGAGGAGGAAGTGGAGGAGGAGAGGGAGCAAGGGAATGGGAAGAATTGGTGCGGAAAGGGGGAGCGGCATAGGGAACAGGGCTTGTATGAGAAGGGTGCTGGAAGGTGGACAGGGAGGCGTGAGAGGGCATGTTGGAAAGAGTCCCACGAGCTTGGGAGTCGGTTTCGGCAACTGACATGTTATGAGCACGAGGATACTGAGCTTGTGTTTGCGGCTGCTGATTTGAATACTGCTGCTGCGGCGGCGGCTGCTGCTGTTGCTGCTGCTGCTGTTGCTGCTGCTGTTGCTGCCGAAATTGCAGCTGTAGCATCTCTTGTATATGTTCCAGAAGCGACACATGCTGTCTCTGCTGCTGCTCATCTTGCTGGTATCCTTCCTTGTTAAACTGCACGTCAGGCTGCTTCCCATCCTGGTGCTGCCTCTCTCCATGTTGCTTCTGCCACGCCTGCTGCATCATTAGCTGCTGATTCGCTATAAGACTTAGCAGATCACCGCTCGACCCCAGAGCAGAACCAGAACTCTGGGAGAATTGCGCCAAACTTTTTTTCTCGCCCCTCTCCAACAAATCTCGGGAAGCTTGGCACTTAGCTAAGTGCTGGGTGGCCTCTAGTGCTGACATCTCCATTCTCTTCCTCTTCTGCTTCCCCTCACGAAGAAGCTCGGAAATAGAGACATCCTCAGGTTCGGATCGATTTCCGCCAATCTCTTCTTTGCCAAGCGTCCAAGCTTCAGCCGAACCTGGAGTGAAGGCTCGGGCCTCTCCGCCTGCCAAAACGGGGACTGAATCTATCGTTTTCTTCTTCATCCTGCCCCTTCGCGGCGACTTCCCCTTGCTCGCCAAAGGACCCTTCTCATCGCCCATTCCCTTTCTCCTAGCAATTCCAGCTCGCTTATTTTCCGCCCTCGCGCCATTCTCACCACTGCCAGCTCTCACTTCCCCTTCCGCGTTGCTCCTCTCCCGCGCGTCAGGCGAGTGCGCGCCTTCCGCCAAGCCTTCTGCCGCCGTCGCGTTTGCCGCGAGACGCTGCGCGTCCGACACGGATGCCGCCGCGACAGCCAACGCAATGATTTTAGACCGCTTAGATTTGTAGCCTCTAGCAGCTGGAGATGTAACCGCAACCCTAGGCCCCGCCGCCGCATCCCTTCGCGCAATCCGACCTTGTTTTGAACAGCGCCACTTCCATCCGCCGTTGCTGAAACTAGACATTTACTTCGGACCAAATCCGCACGCTCGAACGAATCAGCCGCCGCAGGGTGTTCGAATGTGTCGGCCCTCAACCGTTTGCTTCGATAAGAGCCGCCCTGTGGACTTGAATAAGAATCCCTTATTCTTCCCGCAACGGCCGCCGCCGCGGCACCTCTCCCTTTGCGTACGGACCTGCCGCCTCTGGGCAAACCAGCGTCGCCCGGCGAAAATTCGTTAACGTCCTTAAAACCATGCCGACGGGTTCCGTGCCTGGAGTGGTCGTGATCGTCCAGTGCGTTCAGCGACGGAAAACGATTCTCGCAAGCGCCGCATACGTACGGACCGCCACCCGTCGGCTTCACCTTAACGGAACTCGCTACAGTCGGACTCAAAAGTAACAGCAGATCTGCGGGCGTCAGGTTTCCCCACTTCACCTTAAACTGCGGACTCCCAACGCCTCCGTCAACCGCGCTTATCGCTTTCACGTCTGCCTTCGGACTGCCGTCAGTGGGACTTTTCCCGCCAGCGCGCTTCCCGTCAACGCTCTTCGTCAGATTTGACGTTTTCGTAGCGATGATCGCGGTGTCCTGACGTGGCGCTTTCGACGGAGATTTCTGTGAAACGTCAACGTCGGCGTTGACTTCCGCGACGCCGTCTGCTGGACTGCCATGTCGAACATCTTTCGACGGCGGCTGGACAGACGGTTTTGACGGACTGCCGGCTGCTGCGTCTTCGGAAGCGGTTGCGGCGGCGGAGGTATCGTACTGTTGTTGGTCTGCGAGTTTTTTTTTTTGCTTACTCTCCTCGGGCTCCGGATGAAGCGCCGCATGCGGCGCCGCGTCAAGCGGCACTTCTTGGCTCGTCGCTCGTACCAGCGCTTCGAACGCATCCATCCGTTCGGGTGACGTCATCGGGTAACCCGGCGCCAACGCGGCGCCAAATAACAGATCCCGAGGGCGAGAGAACGACTCCGGCGACACCGAGCCGGTAGCGTGCAGAAACGCGCCGGCGTCTGTCGATGCTAGAATAGAACCGCTCGCGCCGCTCGCTTGCGGTAAGAGCTTGTTGATGGCTGAAATCTCGGAAACGGTAGTATTAGCAGTGTTGTTGACGTGGGGAGACAAAAAGGTTTGAGGAAGGCCACGATTTTCAATCACACGCTCGCTGCTGCCTGCTGAACGCTCGGAGCTGAGACCGCTGCGGCTAGAAGTAACACGATTGCTGCAAAGTCGCTCGTCAGAACGTGACTCTGAACGTGATGGAGATTGCGAACGGAAAGAATCAAGATTCGAGGTTATTCGACTTCTTGAAGGCTCAAGAGTCGCTGGTCCCGCTGTGTTGGGAGTGCGCGCCGAGAGACCTTCCGACAAGGGTTTGGAGAGATCTTGGACGCGCGGCGGAAAAGTAGCGGCGAGCGGAAACATATCGAGGCCAGGAGCATGCGCTCGCGCCGGTGAAACTTAGTAAGATTTACTACCACGTCCCACGACTGTTGGATAGACAGATGAAAACGACGAGTGAACGGATGGGATTCGAACTGGGAAGGCGAGAATCCCGGTGTGCGATAACGAGCGGGAAAAAGGTGAGTTTACGTGCGCTTCCCGTCTTATCCACAACGGGAGTCCCGTCGAGGTCTTGGAGTCCTCGAGGTTTCTGAGTGTGACGTGGCGAAGACCCTGGCTTCAAGATGGTTTTGCGGAGTTTCCAAGAGAAGGCAGCGGCAGAAGGAACTACAAATCTCTGAGTTTCGCGATGTGGCCTAGGACGAATGCTTCACGCGAGTGAAATTCTGCGATCGCGTGGGTACTCTTCGCGAACGTGACAGCGACTGGTCTGCCTCCTTCAACCCCACGCAACGTTGCATGCAGAAAAACGAGGCGAAATGTCACTCTGGATTTTGTAATCCTTGAAGAAACAAACGTTGTGATGAGATCGAGCATTTCTACCAGCAAGCTTCTAGAGATAGACGAACGGTGTGACAAGCGCACCATGAGCAACTGAGGCGGCGAACGAGCGATTGATGTGACGTGTGGGGAAAAAAAGACGAAGCGAGCAGCAGGCACTTCCTAAGCGCAGACCAGTCCCAGGAACGTGACCATGGCAGGGGGGTGGGCATAGACTGGACAGTTGTCGAGAAAGCTGGCGAGGCGACCGCACCGTCTCGCCGTTAGATGCGAACAGAATTTTCATTGAACGTGGCGGAGGCTGTTGAGCTGAGGAAGTTGTGCTGGATTGCATTAGCGCAGCGCACCGCGCTGACCTCAAGGCTCGATTGGGGATGACAGTTCGGCAGGCAGGGAGGTTGGATGGCTGGCTTTGTGGTTTGTGGAGATGAGATTAGCTGAACCTGATGTGAGGAGAAGTCTAGGAGTTTCAGACGGTGACAAGGAAGTCCCAATTCGTTGAGAAGACATGCGTAGGAAGAGAGCTTTCGAACAAATTGGTCGGCGAAGGGACGTGGGTGGGTTGATTTGAAATGAAACAGGCTTCTCACTTCCCAGGTTCCTTCGCACGTCTTCTCGTGGCGCCAAACATTGGGAGGGCTGCTAGACTGTGCAGGCCGTGGTGGTACGCCTGATGCCTGTTTGAGCCCCTCCCGGTTGCCTTACGAAGGGGGCGTATAAGCTGTCACGAGCATTTCGCATAAGTTTCGGCAATTCGCAGCTAGCTAAAAATGATTCGCATGTGCTTATAAACAAGAGGTATCTATAACCTAGTTTGACTTCAGTCTCCTCTGCTTGACTTCGGTCTGTACCTAGTTTGACGTCGGTCTGTTCGTTACTACTGGTTGATAACCACGCGACGCGCTTGTAATGTAGGTGCATGAAGCTGGGGAAACAACCTCGGGTGCAGCGTATCCATCCGGCGCAAGGCAAATTCGCGTGCATGGGGTGAGCATCAGGTGTACGCTGGCTTGACAACAATTGATTTGGTTCATTCCTTCAACGTGTACACCTAGCTACCGCTATTTTCAACTTCTGACCTTGGCACTGTTCCCGATTTTCATGTAATCCCTGCCCAGCTTTCGGGGTTTTCTGTTAGAAACCTCGTCATAGGGACTCTGACGGACGTCAAATGGAGATTTCAATCGGGCGAGTGTAAGACAATTTCCGCTCGTGTGGAGTCTGCTTCCTGTTGCGCATCCCATTGCGTAGCTTTCAGGAGTCAGGAACTAACTCTGCGTAGAGCGTATGACGTCCGACACAACCCTCGGTCAAAAACGTTTTGAAGGGTGCATCCACCTTTGCGCACGTGGGGGTTGAAGATAGACCGAAAGAAAATAGCGGTGGTTAGGTGTATGTGCGGTGAAATATTTTTGCTGTTTTTCGTCCTAACAATCCGCTCTTGATTTATGCTGCAAAGGATTGCAAAACATGCGAGAGTTGCAAATATGCACCCTCAATAAACGGGGTGTTTCAAACTATCAAGCCAGAAGTCTTCTGGTCTGGTGCTTTCTGGGACCGATCAACTGAATTCCTCGTCACTTCCTCCCTCACTTCCCTTCACACAAAGTGACAAAATGACGTACATGAAATCCAATGCAGTACACTGTATCGTGGGTTGCAGAAGTGACAACAAGGAACGACACATCGAACTGTGGGGGAGTCAATGCCGTTGACATGACACAGGGAGGGTTGGAGGATGGCCCACACGCGCTCAGTCCGCACTTCAACGCTTACAATTGATGCGCGTTAGAGACACGCAAACATTGCCTTACAAAAGGACTGTAAGGTGTTATGTGTTTTTTGTGTGCCACAAGCCGAACAAAAAAAAAAAAAAAAAATCTCAAAGTTCCAGAAGAACGGATGAATGGCAGAGGGGTAAGTTGAATAATGACTTATGCGGGTTCAAAATTGGATTTGTACATTATAGGATGTTTCCCGTTCTCAAACGCAAGAAGAATTATGATGTATCGATAAATTTGGGCACCAAATGTGCCAAATAACAGAAATCAGCAAGTTCAATAATAGTGTTATTATCTTGTATCAAGCACAATTTTTATGCTTAAAGGACAAATGTTGACTCAACTGTGTCTTCCAAACCTTGACTAGCATGAACTTCTAGTTACTTCGTGCCTTCCTAACGTGCACTCTGTATCAGATCTCATCATTGACACGAGATACGAGCATAACCCAAGTCGCGTTTTTTTAAGGCGACAATTAATATATCTGTGATTACAAATGGCTATTATATACATACGGATTAATCATCTATGGCAACAGAGAGCTTCACCCTTTATGTTGTTATTTAAGCAAAAGGGAATAAATCATCGTGTTACGGCTACGACGTGAGATGTCGACTATTTTTTTCGATCATAACAGAAACAAACACTACCAAGTACCAGAAACGAAGTGGCAAAATGGGTCGAAGGGATCAATGTAACTACCAATTCGGGCATGGACAATTAGAAGGGAAATGTAAGTTTTAATAGGGTGACAATAATGGAGTGTACGACTTATAACAACTTCCTTGTGCAACTACGTAAAGCAATGCATCCCCTCAGTGTAATTGGTTTTTGCATCTTCCAGTGTCCCATTTTCTTTTCCCCCATCTTTTTCTTCCCTTTCTTCTTCTTTCCTCTCTTCTTCATCCCCCTATTCTTCTTCCCCTCTTCTTCTCCCCGCTCTTCTTCTACTCCCTCTTCTTCTCCCCCCTCTTTTACTCCCCCCCCTCCTCCTCCTCAACGTCCTCCTCTTCTCCCTCCTCCTCCTCCTCCTCCTCCTCCTCCTCCTCCTCCTCCTCCTCCTCCTCCTCCTCCTCCTCCCCCTCCTCCTCCTCCTCCTCCTCCTCCTCCTCCTCCTCCTCCTCCTCCTTTGTTGATAAAAAATTGGCTTCGCCCTCGCTTGGGAGAAGCAAACTTCGCAGTCGGGGTCGCGCATGAGCCGACGCCGACTTCGCACAGAAGACGACGTCGACATTTCGCAGAGTTCGGCGTCGACCTGTCCCGCAGAGCTCGACCTCGACGTGTCCGCAAGTCGACCTCGACCTATCTGTATAAATCGACCTCGATAGCCCGCAGAACTCAATGCGGAGGTCGACGAAGCTATCTGGTCAACAAGATTACGCAGAAGTGTTGGTCGAGCATCATCGTAGAGGACGCTGGTCGACGAGCGCCGCCGAGGAGCATTGGTCGACGGACTCTACTCGACGAACTCATATAGCTGTTCGACGGAGCATCTTCGAGCTGGTCGACGAGCTCGCTCCATTGGCAAATATCGCTTAAGAGATTTTTGCGAAATCAACCTGCGGAACGGCGTCACCTGCTCAACGGTGCACGGTTGCGGAAACCGTTGGCACGTGTTCTACCTGGCACCTACGCAATATGTCTGGCGGCGCGGCCGTCTACCTGCACCTACTTGTTAGGTGGCAACATGCGCGAACGTTCACCTGCCTCTGAAGCGCTGGCAGACCGCTGCGGTGCAACGCTGACCAACTTTTTTGCTGCAGCGTTGGCAAGCCGCTCTTCTGCTGCGCTGGTAGAGTTTGCCCTGCAAAGGGTTTGCTAGGTATGAAATATCATTCTATGTATATCAATTTATATGCATCGTTGTAATCTAATGTGCTTCTCTATTTCTAGTAAAACTCTTGCGAGATTTTTTTGTGAACATAGCAAAGTAGTAAGAACGCTACCAGTGTGCTACGTTCATCCGCACAAACCCGCGCCCATCTCGGTAGTGCACTCCCATTGTCTAGTGACTATCCACAGGGTGCGGTGAGCGTGGATGGCCTCATAGAATGCCTTCAGAATAGTAGCCGATGTATCACTTACGTAAATCGTTGTTATGACGGCAGCATGTCCAGGCTATGACGCCTACCTCGGCAGAGGCCATCGCGGTAGAGGATAGCTTGGAGGCACGGTTGGTTGATGCAACGAGACGCCACGAGGTTGGCGATTTCGGGCCAATGCTCCCTATGGAGGTGGTTCTCCTTGGGATCTGTGTGCAGAGGGCGACGGAACACCCTTTCCGACCTACATCTCCTCCACCGGTACGCAACGAAGGTGGCGTTGACGAGAGAGTTGACGGCGGTGACCAAGTTGGCAGCGACGAGGGCATGAGGACGACGAGTAAAGTGTTCAGAGTCGCAGACGGAGGAGTCGGCGGAATACATGCGCGGGTAGAGCAGTCGACGGCAGCCGCGGGCAACTCGCACGTCGACGTCGACTGTCGACGTCGCTCCCCACAGAGAAGTGGAGCGAGGCCGAGCTCCTCTACGTACTTGACAGTTGGCGGAATTACGCCAACCTACAGATTTTTTTTTTTTTTTTTCCGGACAAGATCGACGTGCCTGTACCGCTTGAAGGTCGACGAGACCTCATCACATGGAGGGAGTCGATCGAGCCCCAGCTTGGAGGGCTGTGTTTCGCCGACGGTGAAGTGGTGACGCCAAACAAGGACGACGTCGAGCTGCGGGCATAATTCTGCGTGGCTCATCTGCTGACCTTCATTGTCATCGCACGCTGCTGCTCGTCGATGGTGCAGAACGCTCCGAAGTCGTGTCGACTCCGCGTGGTCGTCATATCGACGTATCAGGTGATTGACGACCTATATATTGGCAAGCTGGAGGAGCACTTGACTCATCTCAGGATGGGTGAGCATGAGTCGACGGCGGCTGTTGCGACCGCGTTCGATGGATCCTTTCCGTCTTGCGGATGGAGCGCGTCGACTACTCGACGACGTCTTACATCACACACGTCATCAAGGGACTGCCGAGTGGCTATAATATGATGCGGCGAATGATGCTGATGCCTGGCGTGCGCGAGTCGCTCAACAAAAATACTCTTACGATTCACATCATCAAGGACGAGGCTACGCAGGAGGCAGAGAGGCCTACGGAGCTCCTTCAGCATGCGAACTACGTCGCCCCGATCAAGCAGAGCCATTAGCAGGGGCAACCCGGGAAGCAACGCGAAGATGACAGCAGTGGTGGGAGGTCGGCGACAGATGCCAACCGGATAAAATCGGCTCGAAACAACCCTCGTGGCGTTAGTGGCCGATGGCGGGGATGCTGGCTCTGCGCCGCTTCATTCAAGATACTGTAACTGCATTTTTAGCTTTTTCTCAAATATGTGCACGCAGAGCGTGGTTAGCCGTTGAGGTTGCTTTGCTGCTTTCGCTACGAGCCAACTGACCATTTCGCGTTGCAGTCCAGCCTGACATTAGAGTCGTCCAAGGGAAACATGCCATGCACGCACCCCAAAGGGCGAACTTATTCTCATACTATGCTTGACATGCATATTACACGGTTTCTTCCCAATCTATTTAGGCAATTGCATGAAGATTGTCGTTATTAAGTTTCGCATTGTGTGCACATAAACTTAAAGCCAGGGTCTCATGTAAGGGTTGGCCGTGCCACTGCAAAGCACTTGGGCGAAAAGTAGGCTCTCGGTTTGTCAAAACTTTGGCCCCGAATTTGTAAACCAATCAGACACGCCCGTTTTTCATCGACTGCAAAGCACTTGGTCACTTGAGACCCTGGCTTTAATAGATTCAAGTTTAGATATGATGGATATATGAACCCAAGGGCGTGTATCGGGATCAGAACAGAGCCGTGTTACTATTTGTTGCGGAAACACGCCCTAAAGCATGCCATGAGTGGTGAATCAGTAGCTTCCAGGATTGGACGGAGCCTTTTTTCAGCCACCAACCAGAAACATGCACTTTTGATTTGATTGGTTATTGTTTACATCTTGGACTTCGTGTCTGCGAATCAGGGCCCTCCCCATACGTTATCAGTCGCCAAAGATAAGGGCGTGTCCCATGAGTTCATTTGGGAGGAAAATCATATTTTTTACATAACTCCGACCAAGCAAAAGAGTGTACACTCTGACGTGAAAACACGCAGCGCGTCAGCACAGCGCCAAACGAAATAGACCCTCGCGGACTCATAGCCCCACCCACACTAAAATCGCAATCCGAACTTGGCCCGCGAGCGGTTACCCGCCACAGAGCGAATTAATAGTGCCCTGTGCGAATTTCTGTTATTTTTTCGCGCAACTGAATGTGCGCGAATTTCCAGAATGGGGTAACGCAATGGAGGACTATGTACGACGTGATCTCATGTACCTTGTACGTTGGGTAGTACGAACCTCTTGACGTCATAGGGGTCTCATCAGGTGCGTCATTGAAGACGCATGTCATGCTGGGAAGGGTTACAGACTGAAAACAGGGTTACCTCCCCGAACTTGAACTGTAAACGAACTCGTGGGACACGCCCTAAGAACATTTTTTGGCTCCGGGTCTAATTTTACTTTTGGTTCGATTTTCTGTCAACTGGAACGAACTAAATACGTATTTCTGTCTTCCCGATGACGAGACAACGAATCGCACAGCAGGCAAGAGAACATCCTCTTTTGTACTGTTGATCACGCTCTAAAACCAACAATCACGCCCAAAAGCCAGCCTTAGCTGTCTCGCTCGCACGGTTGCTCATTTTCATCCACCTCTGCTTAGTATTTACTGCCATTATCCTGTTTTCCTTCACGTTATTTCTGTAGTCGGTGTTTCGTAGTCCGGTTGTGATCAGCAAGTCATCATGCCTCCAGCAGTGGTCGACAAGGAGGCCAAGGAGGCCTTGGCGAAGGATGCGCTCGAAATGTTTTTGAAAATCGGCCTTGACGAAAAGACTGCTCAGAATGCCGTCGCAAACGCCAAGGTTACCGCGAACCTCGTCGAAGTGATCAAAGAGGTACGAGGCTTTCGCGAGCCTTCGCGAAACCGCTGGATCGAGTTCGCCGGAAGGAACGACGAATCTCAGAAGCTGTTAATCGTTGCCTCGATCCTACTGTCCTGCACTTGAGATTCGGTCAGCCAGGTGTAGAGCCTGGATCTCAGCCGTTCCTTGGTTCTGCCTGCTGTTACCCGTTAGCTGGATCTCAGCCGTTGCCAGGTTCTGCTGTTACACGTTTTGTTACCCCTTGCCTCGATCTCAGGCATTGTGTTACACACTCTGTCCTTCCGTCTGCTCGTTAATCTTTCCGCAACCAGTGTATTTGTCGCAGTGCTGTGCGCTTCTCATTGTTCCTCTTCGCGCACTGTTTATCGCAAAAACCCCTCTGACATTCCTCGCAGGCTTCATTGGAAGGCGGGTGTGACAAGGCCATAGGAAACTTGCTGTACACGGTGGGTTTCGCTGCACACGGTTCATTCCGCTAAATCTAATGTGTGTCCATCGGACCCAACGGGTGCACGAATTGCTGCACACCGCGAGGTTTTTCTGCCACATACGGCCCAACGGTTTCGAAGTGCATTGTTTCTTTCTTGGTGACCGTGGTGGGTTCCGCTGCACAAGGTTCGCTGTGCCTGTTAATACTCTTTCATTGTCAACCTCGTCCATTGTCATCCCGATACACATCCACCGTCGATGTGACTGATATCGAACCCCCCTTTCCTTCTTCAGCACCGTTTCTCGTCAACCCTTTCTCTTTCATGCTAGCCCCGCCACAGCTCTCTGTTACTTCTCTCTCCATCTTCCGCTGTCCGTCCGCCCTCCTGTCTGATCCAATCTCCCCGCAGGTCGCCACCAAGTTCCCTGCCAATGCGCGCGTGCACCGCCCCACGCTACTGTCCTATGTCACCTCGCTGAAGGTAAGCCCTCAATCCCTATCTACATTCCACGCATCGTGTCCCAGCTTGCATGCTGTTATACGCCGACCTGACATTGCTGTAGCGTTGTTTTACCTCAGCAAAGGCCGAGGGATGGCTCATCTTTCCAACTCCATTGCGCTTCTCTTTCTCCTGCCTCGCCTCCATGCCTTTCCTTCTCATTCAGAGCCTTTCCGTTTTCCCTGCAGGACCAGATGGTGCCTTATTCGAAGCCGGCTCATCCGGCGTTTTCTCTCTAAACCGACCATCAACTCCTGTTTCGAACCGTCCTCCCTTTGCAGATCAAGACGGTGCCTCAGCTGGAGGCAGCGCATGCATATCTGGCAACTGTGGGGCAGGAGCCTCTTAATACTGCAGAGCTTGAGGCAAAGAGTGGCGTAGGTACGTGGGGTTCTAGCTGAGCTGGGATAGCCGTTTGAAGCTCAAGATGGTTCGTGATAAGGTCTGAGGCTCTGTGGTGATGGTCGTTTCTCAGCCGGAGGCAGCTCACACATATCATGTCACCTGTGTTGGCTTGGCTCCTCCCTGCATCACATTGTACCGGAGTGGGTGTATCAGTGGACGACATTAAGGCAGCGGTCACTGAGGCTGTAGCGGCAGTCATGCCACCTGTGCATGCGGCTCATTGCCCCTTCGTCTCCTCCCATGTGCAGGAGTGGAGGTGTCAGTGGAGGACATCAAGGCAGCAGTCACTGAGGCTGTAGCGGCAGTCAAAGAGAAGCTGGTGGAGGAGCGATACCGCTTCAACGGTGAGGCGTGTCTTTTGCTACAAGACCTTTCTGGCCTTTCTGCATTCTCCATTCCAACCCAGCTCCTGTTCCGCCGCTCTCGTTCCTTACCCTTTTTTTCAACCCCTTTCGAGCCCCCTCTCACCCCTCTTCACCCCTCCTCACCCCTCCCCTCCTCACCCCTCCTCACCCCTCCGCACCCCTCCGCACCCCGCTTCACCCATCCAGTGGGTCTCATTCTCGCCAAGGTTCGCGCGCTGCAGCCATGGGCGGATGGCAAGCTGGCCCATTCTTACCCCTTCTCTCTCACCACCCCTTTGCACCTCCTCTCACCCCACCCCTTTTCACCCCCCCGCACCCTGCCTCACTCCTCTTCACCTCTCCAGTGGGTCTCATTCTCGCCAAGGTTCGCGCGCTGCAGCCATGGGCGGATGGCAAGCTGGCCAAGGTGGGTCTCTTTCTGCCCTTTTGAGAAGGTTTCAGAGCATTCTTGTGGAATATACTGTAACCTCTGTTCTCATACCCGCACATATTCACAGAAATATGCAAATGTGATTGGCTGAAAATCCGTAAAGGTAATTTTATAAGAGTTTTCAGAAGCTATTGTAGAATGAGGATGTGATAGCGCACTGGCGCTGGCACTGGTGCTGTCAAGAGATGGGAGAGAAGGCAAAGTATCAGCGTGTCACCTTCGTGCCCCCTTTACACCGCCACCCCCGGGTTTTTAATCCTTAACCATGCATTTGCGTGTGCGAGCAGGAGGAGGTGGATGCACAAGTGCTGGCGGTGCTGGGCCCAAAGACAGAGGCGGATGAGGCGAAATCCAAGTGCCCCCCTCCCGCCCTCCTCACCCGTGTGTGTTTAACCCCCGTCCGTGTGTGTGTGTGCGTCTGTGCGAGCAGGAGGAGGTGGATGCACAGGTGCTGGCTGTACTCGGCCCAAAAACAGACGCGGACGAGGCCAAACCCGCGAAGAAGAAGAAGGAGAAGAAACCCAAAGGGGACGAGGCGGCCGCAGCCGCTGATGCTGCTGCTCCAGCAGCGGCAGGGGCGGCAGCGGGGGTGGATGGAGGGGAGGAGGCGGACCCATATGCTATCTTCCCCAACCCGCAGGATAACAACAAGGTGAGCTCACTCGCTCCCTCAATCCAGCATCACACGTAGCTTGAGGCAGGCTGGAGCCAGCCTTGTGACCTCGTCCCCTCCTCACATGTGTTTTGAGTCGACTCAAAACACACCTTTTGAGTCGACTCAAAACACACCTTTTGAGTCGACTCAAAACACACCTCAATCCAGCATCACACGTAGCTTGAGGTAGTCTGGAGCCAGCCTTGTGACCTCGTCCCCTCCTCACTTCACTCTTTCTTTCCCTTCACTCTTTCCCCTCCCTTACCCTCCTTCAAAGTTCACGAAAACGAATTTAGCTCGATAGTTAATTGCGCCTTTCCTTCCCGTCCTCCCCCCCCCTCTCCTCCTGTCCTCCTTCGCTCGGCCTCTCAGGTGCACACGGAGATCTTCTTCAGTGACGGCACCACGTGGCAGCTGGGAGGTGCAGGAGAAGCACCTGTCCGCCAGCCCGCTTCACCCTTCGTTCTCCGTCGTCCACCCCCGTCTCCCCCACCTCCGCGTTCATCCCCTCTCAGGTGCACGTGGAGATATTCTTCAGCGATGGCACCACGTGGCGCCCCAAGAACAGCCGCGAGGCACTGGAGAAGCACCTGGCAGTCAGCCCCCTTCACCCTTCCCTTTCTGCCTCCCACCCGCACCACCCCCTCAACCCAACTCCCCTGTTCCCCCCCCTCTCAGGTGCACACAGAGATCTTTTTCAGCGACGGCACCACATGGCGCCCCAAAAACAGTCGGGAGGCGCTGGAGAAGCATTTGGCAGTGACAGGGGGGAAGGTCTGGTCGCGGTTTCCCCCCGAGCCCAACGGTTACCTGCACATTGGGCATGCCAAGGTAAGTAGGCACTATGTACGTTGCTGTGATTGCAGTCTTGAATAACTCCCCGCTGGAAAAGCACCTGGCAGTCAGGGGGGGGAGGTTTGGTCGTGCTTTCCCCCCCGAGCCCAACGATTATCTGCACATCGGGCATGCCAAGGTGAAATGCAGCAGTGGGTGTGTGCGTGTGTTTCTCCTATCATTCCATGTGCATGTGTTTCATGTCTCACCATTCTTCTCCTTTCATGTCCACGTGTATGTCATGTATGTCATGTATGTCATGTATGTCATGTATGTCATGTATGTCATGTATGTCACATCTTTGCTCTTCAGGCCATGTATGTCGACTTTGGCCTGGCAAAGGAGAGAGACGGAAACTGCTACCTGCGGTGAGTGCTAAGTTATGGCTTTTCCCACTCCCGTCTGCTTTGTCATTTCCCAACTCGTATTCCCTTCACTCTCTGCTCTCCCTCCCTTCGCTCTCTGCTCTCCCTTCACTCACTGTTCTTCCGTGCTCTCTGCTCTTCCACACTCTCTGCTCCGCCCCATCCCCCCCGGCCCTCAGCTACGACGACACCAACCCAGAGGCGGAGAAGCAGGAGTACATCGACCATATTGAGGAGATAGTTGCGTGGCTGGGGTGGAAGCCGTTCAAGGTGAGCTCTTGACTTGATTCACAGCACCTTTTTGAAGTAGGCGAAGAGACGGTGTGGAAGGCAGAGAAGCAGGAGTACATCGACCATATTGAGGAGATAGTTGCGTGGCTGGGGTGGAAGCCGTTCACGGTGAGTGGCAAAAGGCATTGGGGTGCAGAGAAGGTGTGTGTGTGTGTAGAGGAGTGGGTGATCGGAGAAGCAGGAGTACATAGGTCACATTGAGGAGTTAGTGGCACGGCTGGGGTGGACGCTGTTCAAGGTGAGAGACAGCTTGACAGTGCATCATTTCAATCACCCCTCCCCCTTGTGTATGATCAAGCTTTACTTGATGTTGTGCTCCTATCCCCGCCCTCCAACCAGATCACCTACAGCAGCGACTACTTTCAGCAGCTCTACGACTTGGCAGTGCAGCTCATCAAGTCAGTGTCTGGGCTACCCCCTACTCCTCTCCCCCTCTTTTACACTGTCCCTTCTGCTCCTATCCCTTCTCCCCACTCCCACCAGATCACCTACAGCAGCGACTACTTTCAGGAGCTCTACGACCTGGCAGTGCAGCTCATCAAGTCAGGCCACGCATACGTGGACCATCAGACAGCGGAAGACGAGATCAAACTCTACCGCGAGAAGCACCTGGAGAGCCCCTAGCGCAAGGCTTTCCCCCTCGTTTCCTTCTCCCCCCCACCAGATCACCTACAGCAGTGACTACTTCCAGGAATTGTACGACTTAGCAGTGCAGCTGATCAAGTCAGGCCACGCATACGTGGACCATCAGACAGCCGAGGAGATCAAACTCTATCGAGAGAAGCACCTGGAGAGCCCCTGGCGGAACAGGCCAGTGGAGGAGTCGCTTAAGCTGTTTGAGGACATGAGGAGAGGGCTGGTGGAGGAGGGGGCGGCTACCCTGAGAATGAAGCAGGACATGCGAAACGAGAACCCCAACATGTGGGACTTGATCGCATACCGCATCAAGGTGAGACGTCTCCTGTGCATGTGAACATGGTGTTTTAAACATGGTGCATGCAGTGGAGGAGTTGCTGCGGCTGTTTGAAGACATGCTGAGAGGGTTGGTGGAGGAGGGGGCTGCTACTTTGAGGATGAAGCAGGACATGCACAACGAGAACCCCAACATGTGGGACCTCATTGCCTACCGTATCAAGGTGAGTCATCAGGTGAGCTTGTAAAGGGTACAACGAGCACCCTGGCACACACACACCCTCTCAACCCCCCGAATTCACGGCGGACCCATGTTTTGTTGAGCCCTTGAAATGCTTCAACATGCCCCTCCATCTTACTCCCATGCCTTTGGCCCCTGCAGTTCACCCCGCACCCCCATGTGGGAGACAAGTGGTGCATCTACCCCAGCTACGACTACACGCACTGCATCATTGACTCCCTTGAGAACATCACACACTCGGTGAGCGCACTGTGCCTGTGTTTCTGCCGTGCGCCTGTCCTTCTTCTGGCTGCTGTAGGAAGTGTGATTGTTGCTGTGTTGCACACACCCAGTATCTTGCTCTTCTCATTTGTGTCGGGCCCTGCGCGGTGTGTGTCTGCATCTACCTTCGTGTCACACGTGTGCCCAATGCCCCCCCTTGCAGCTGTGCACGTTGGAGTTTGAGACACGGAGGGCGTCCTACTACTGGTTGCTGGAGGCGTTGGGTCTGTACCATCCGTACGTGTGGGAGTATGCACGGCTGAACATCACCCACACCATGCTGTCCAAGCGCAAGGTTGGTGTCTAGTATGGCAGAATGTGACTCAGTGTCACAATCTGCAGAGGGGAGTGTTCTCGGCTCACTTGTCACAATATGTGGGTGGGAGTATGCGCCTCACATCACATGGCTGCTGGTTGCTGGAGGCGTTGGGCCTGTACCATCCGTACGTGTGGGAGTATGCTCGCCTCAACATCACCCACACCATGCTGTCCAAGCGCAAGGTTGGTGCTGTGTACGGGAGTATGTGCCTCAAAATGCCACTGTGGCTGTACCATCCACTCGTGTGGGAGTATGCTCGTCTCAACATCACCCATACCATGCTCTCAAAGCATGAACCTCTCAGGGGTGCAGAGAGAAGGAGGTTCTTGTGATCGTATTTCCCTTCATGCCTTCTTGTTGCCTCTCCCTCGTCGTCCTCTTTTTCACCTTCACTCTCCCACTTCTCCTGCTGAACTGGCTGGTGACAAATGATCACGTGAACAGGTGGGACAACCCTCGCCGCATGACCCTAGAGCATCTCATGCGTAGGGGCGCCAACCCTGCTCTGCTCCATTTAATCCCCGCCAACACTTTTTCTCCCCTCCCTTTCTCGCCCCCTGTCCCCTTCTCCAGATGAACCGGCTGGTGACAGATCATCATGTGAACGGGTGGGACGACCCGCGCCTCATGACCCTCTCAGGGCTGCAGCATGCAGCAGGTTCTTATACCCCTGCTCCCCTAATGCCCCCACCTTCTCTTCTCTCCCCCTCTGATCCCCCATCCCCCTCCAGTTGAACCGGCTGGTGACAGATCATCATGTGAACGGGTGGGATGACCCGCGTCTCATGACCCTCTCAGGGCTGAGGAGGAGGGGCGCCCACCCCGCTGCGATCAACGCCTTCTGCCGAGCCGTGGGCATCACCCGGAAGTGAGTTGACAGTGCTGGGAGCCTTCACATATCCATTGTACCGCTCCGTATCCTTCTGCACCGTTTGGAGGGACGCCCACCCCGCTGCCATCAACGCCTTCTGCCGAGCCGTGGGCATCACGAGGAAGTGAGTTGAACTTGAACTAGCATGACGAGGAATTGAGTTGCCGGTGCAGATTATGCCCACGTTTCCTTCTCACAATTGCGTACTTTTCTGAATCACTTTGCAACGTAGGATGGGAGAGAAACTGATCCGAGATGGTTTTTTTTTTCTTTCTTTCGTTCTTTCTTTTTTCATGAGAAATTACCTAAACTGCACTGCACCTTCATGTCCCCGTCCCACCCTCTTCCCAACTCTCGTACCCCTGTATACCCTTCTATACCCCTCTGCACCGCTCTGTTCCATGTCTCAGTGAGAACGTGATCCGAGTGGAGCTTCTAGAGCACTTCATGCGCGACCATCTGAACCGCACTGCACCGCGCTCGCTGGTGGTGCTGAAGCCACTGAAGGTGGTGATAACGAATGTGGGGGAGGAGGAGGTGGAGATGGTGGAGGGCAAGCGATGGCCCGACGCTAAGGAGGGCGATCCAGAGGCGACTTACAAGGTGAGGTGAACCTAGAGGTGAAATCAGCATGCAGTCACACCTCACCAACGTGGGGGAGGAGGTGGAGATGGTGGAGGGAAAACAGTGGCCCGATGCCGAGGAGGGCGACCCTGAAGCGACTTAAAAGGTGAGGAAAAATGCAGTGTGCATGGATCTATCTTGAGGTGAGCTGAGCAGACAGCTGAGCCTCACAAGCTGGGCGGGGAGGTGGAGATGGTGGAGGGAAAACGGTGGCCTGATGTTGGAGGGCGACCCAGAGGCGACTTACAAGGTGAGGGAGATGGGTTTGGGGCTGTGCTGACGTTGATGTGGGTTGCTACACGTTGATACTGCTTCTGTGGGCACTCAGTGTAAATGAAGCCACTCAAGGTGGTGATAATAAACGTGGGGGAGGAGGAGGTGGAGATGGTTGAGGGTAAGCGATGGCCCGATGCCAAGGAGGGCGACCTAGAAACCACTTATAAGGTGAGGAACAAAAAATGAGTGAGGAATGCAGTTTGTGGTATGGAATGCAGTGTGCGTGGGTTTGCCGATGTGCACTACATCAAACAGCTGAACCTACTTTCATCCTCTTCCCAACCCATGTTGTGCCCCATTCCCCCTACTTTTCTCCTCAGCTGCCCTTCTCCCGAATGGGTTAAATCGAGCAGTCTGACTTCCGAGTGAAGGACAGCAAAGACTATTATGGCCTTGCACCCAACACCCCCCTTTCCATTCCCCGCCATTCCTGTGCCCCATTCGCCTTGATTGGCCCCGCAGCTGCCCTTCTCCCGAGTGGTGTACATAGAGCAGTCTGACTTCCGAGTGAAGGACAGCAAAGACTACTATGGTCTCGCGCCCAACAAGTCTGTTATGCTCAGGTGATTACATATAGGTGACTACATATCCTTGCTTGATAGATGCCACAAGCTCTGCTTTTGAGTCGACTCAAAAGCCAACAAGTCTGTTATGCTCAGGTGATTACACATAGGTGACTACAAATACTTGGTCGCTCCAAGTTTTTACATGCCACAAGCTCTTCTCTCTGTGCTGCACAATGTGAACTGTACTGAACAATTCTTATCCTTGTTCCCGTGGCTGGCAGGTACGCGTACCCTATAAAGTGTACCGAGGTCATCTATGAGGAGGATGGCACGACTGTCAAGGAGCTGAGGGCCGAGTGCGATCGCGCCAAGAGCACCAAACCCAAGGTGAGTAGGGCGAGGGCAAAGTGAGTGTGTTTTATTTTGAGTTGCACCGCCCGAACATGCTGTTACAGCGGTACCCAAGTGCTCTTTACACTGTTAAGAGCTGAGGGCCGAGTGTGACCGCGCCAAGAGCACCAAGCCCAAGGTGAGAGCTCCAAGCTGTGAGGGCAGCAAGGGCTAGGTGAGAAAGGCATGGGCATGGTGAAAGAGGCATGGGCAAGGTGAGAGAGGCATGGGCATGGTGAAAGAGGCATGGGCAAGGTGAGAGAGGCATGGGCAAGGTGAGAGAGGCATGGGCAAGGTGAGATCGAAGTAGATACGAATAAGAGTATATATAGTGTGTGCGAAAGACTATGTTAGTTTCAAAAAAAAAAAAAAAAAAAGTGACGAAGCTGAGGAGGATGCTCAAAGAGATTTTCGCCTCAGAGAGCGGAAGTGCAGAGAGGGAGATTACGGAGAAGAATGAACTGACGACGGAGGAGCAGGCGGCGTGAATGAGGAAAGAAAAGGAGTAGGTGCAGATGGAGGCGACGCTGAAGGCTGCGTGGGATGCTTTCACATCACTGTAGATCTGCACCAGCTCCTTTTCTTTTTTTCATCCGCACCGCCCGCTCCTCCATCGTCAGTTCATTTTCCGCCGTGGTCTCCTTCTCTGCACTTCCACTCTCAGAGGCGAAAATCTCTTTGAGCATCTTCCTCAGCTTTGTCACTTCTTTAACTTCTAAAAACTAACAATTTTATTCGCACGCATTAGATCCATTATTGTGTCTGCCAACCAAGAGTTCAACGTCAATATACTCTCCCCTCTCTCCCCCTCTCTTCCCCTCTCTCTCCCTCTCTTCCCCTCTCTCCCCCTCTCTCCCCCTCTCTCCCCTTCTCCCCTCTCTTCCCCTCTATCCCCCTCCTCTCTGTCTCCGCTGCTCACAGGGTGTGATCCATTGGGTGGCTGAGCCCAAGCCCGGCCAAGTTTGAGGCGCCTCAAAAGCCCCTCCTCCCTCTTCCCGCCCCTCGATTTCCCCTCTCTCTCCGCGGCACACAGGGTGTGATCCACTGGGTGGCAGAGCCCAAGCCCGGCCAGGCCCCCCTTACAGTCACAATCCGCCTAATCAACAAGCTCTTCCTCTCCGAGGTATGCTGCTCCTCAACTCTATGGTATGGTGTTCTCTGAGCTTCTATGAGGTTCGCCTTTCTTCGAGGTCCCAATGATTGCTTTCTCCTCATTTCCCTTAGTTCTTGCACTTCAAATTCACCACTCTCGTTGTTCACTGCCCTTGCTCCGCAGAACCCCAACGAGCTGGAGGACTGGCTAGGGGACCCCTCAACCCCGACCAGAGCGTCTGGCTGGAGGAATCTGCACTATATGGAGGAAATTCAGAGCGCTGGCAGAGCCGTCCCTCTCTCCACCCCAACCCAGCGCTCCTCAATGTTTCCTTGCTGTCCACCCCGGTTGTAACTCTTCACCAATCCTGCTCTCCAGAACCCCAACGAGTTGGAGGACTGGCTGGGGGACCTCAACCCCTAGTCAATGGAAGAGATAGGAGCACTGGCAGATCCATCCCTTGCATCTCAACCCCAACCCTGTGTGCCTCATTTTTCCTTACTCCAACCCCGCTCTTTCACTGTCCACCAAACCCATTTTTAGAACCCCAACGAGTTGGAGGACTGGCTGGGGGACCTCAACCCACAGTCCATGGAGGAGATAGAAGGAGCGCTGGCTGAGCCATCGCTTGCGGGGAAGCCTGCTGGCAGCACCTTCCAGTTCGAGAGGCTCGGTACGTTATGGGTGGAGAGAGAGGGGAGGGGAGGGAAGGCATGATTTGAGGGGCGTAGAGGGGAGGAGATAGAAGGAGCGCTGGCAGAGCCGTCCCTTGCAGGGAAGCCTGCTGGCAGCATCTTCCAGTTCGAGAGGCTCGGTACGTCATGGGTGAAGAGAAGGGGGAGGAGGTAGGACCTTTTTTTCGGAAGGGAGTACTGTAGTGGGGAGGAAAGAAGGGGGGAGGAGAAGGGGGTGGGAGGAGGAGGGAGGGGGGGGAGGGGAGGACGGGGGGGATGGAGTTTAGGGTGCAAGGGAGGGGATGTGTTCTGTTGCTGTTTGATGTTTGTGGTCTCTAGCTTGTGCTCCGTTGATGGTCGGGTCGCGCTTGGTCGTGTGCCCTTGTCTCTTGCAGGTTATTTCTGCGTCGATACTGACTCCAAGGACGATCGGTTGATATTTAATCGCACTGTTACACTGAAGGAGTCGTACCCCAAGTTTGGGGCGAAGTAGGCAGGCTGCATTGGTCGTCAACCTGGGAGATATGGGTTAGTCTTGCAGACAAGTCGGCATCTCATTAAGCTTTACACTGAGGATAACTGGTGCTTGTACAGTGTAAACGCTAGGCCAATTGTTGTAGGTTAGGATTGATCCAATTGATTTGAGCTTGAAGGTCATGAACTATTTCCATGGATGGATGGATGGATGGATGGAGGCGTTTGAGGAAGTAGGGTGTATGCTGTACAGCTCTAAGGTGAACATTGGCAATATCGTTGTAACTTGGTGGGAAGGTACTTCGCGAATCGTTGACGCGGCATGTGCGGAAAGTTCGCCGAGCTTCGCCCATAAATCGCCACGGCAGCATTCACGTACTCCTTCCGCGAACGAAAACCCTCAAACCAGTACCAAAGCCCATGCAACCAAAGGGATCTCCGCGGAGTTTCCCGCCAAACCATTCTGGTCTGGCCCAAAGATTCCCTCCGCACCACACATGCCCTTCCCTGAACGCCCCCCCCATTCCCTACTTCCCCCTGCTACCTCTCTCCCCTCTGTCCTCCTGATTCCCCTTCCACGGCTCTCTGCTGGCCCATTTTGTTCCACCCGCTTCCGCAACCTCCCACCACATTCCGCCAATTTTCCCCCACCCCTACTCCGCTTGCTTCTGCTATGTCTCCCGCTTCTGCCTAACCCCTTCTCCCCTACTTATCTCCCTATTTTATCCTGCTTCCTCCCTTTCTTCTAAATCCCTCTAGGCAGGGACTAGTTAGTGACCTGTTTTTAGCGTCCCTTCCTGATCACGCCGTCTGCAAGGCTTATTCTCCCTTGCGTTCCTTCCCTTGGATTCGCAGTCTCGTGCTGTGACTTGTTCCAATGGCTCCTCTCGTACGTAACCTGACTTTGAGCCTTCGTGTTTTTCTTACCGTGATCAGCATCTCCAGTTGATTAGATCAGGCTGTTGTCTCAGCCATTTCCGCAGGTTCGCCATTTTGTAGTTAATTTACATCCTCGAAAGTCATCGTGGTTGTGGTAGCTGATCCCTTCGTCGTGCTTCCGTTGCTCCGCAACTTCCTTACCCTCGTTCCTGCCTCGTGTTATTCTATCTTGTTTCCTCACTACAGAAATTGTACACGTTCTCGTACAACAGAAATGCCTACAAGGCGTTGATCGCAGCCGAGTATACTGGGGCCAAGGTCGAGGTCCCTGCGTTCGAGTTCGGCAAGACCAACAAGACCAAGGAGTTTCTCGCCTGGAATCCCATTGGCAAGGTGTGTTGACTGGCTTGTGACGAGCGCAGATCCGTGCTCTATCAGGCTGTTTCATTCCGTGATGCAGCACCTCCTCCTTGTCGTTGAGTGCATCTGGATGAACAAGACCAAGGAGTTTCTCGCATGGAACCCCATTGGCAAGGTGTGTTGTCCAGCTTTCAAAGAGCACTGATCCGTGATCTATCAGCTAGACCAACTAGATTCAGGAATTCCTCGCCTGGAACCCTAGCGGCAAATATGTAGTTCGGCCTTGATATCAGCGTACTGATTCCGTTGATCCGTCCCTCGTTAGCGTCCTCTCTCGATCCATTTCTTTAGTTGTCTCCGACTTAGTAATTGAAGTCCAGCCTTCGTACATCGTATCTGATCTTGTCAGATCTCTCCCAATCTTGTCCGATCTGGTTTCAGACTTCTGTAAGGCGTCTCCAGCCCTGATCGCTTCCATTATCCTGTCCTTCTGAAAGCTTCCGTTCTCCTGTCCTCCCCACCATACAGGTGCCAGTTCTGCAGACCCCCGACGGTCCGATCTTTGAAAGCAACGCCATTGCCAAATACGGTACGGATTCCCAGTCCTTAATGTCTTTCAGGCTCCTTTGCTAGATCGTCAGTCACCTCATAATTGCATTTTCTAACACTTTGGTTGATACGTATGTTTTCCCTAGTGTTGTATATTGACCAAGAGGCATTCAGTAAAGACCCCTTTCCGTGTTCCTTTGCGCAGTCGCCAAGTCATCTGATAAAGGACTCACGGGCACCTCGGTCTATGAAACGGTGAGAACTTGCCTATTTTGTAGCATTGCCCCCCCCTCTCCCTCTTCCCTCTCCCCCAACACCCCACTTCCCGTCATCGTTCAGTTGTCCCCGTTTCATTAACGTAAGGTTTTAACATCCACTATGTAATCATCTGGTTCGTTGCCATCTTACAATTTTTCTTTCATTTTACGCTGACGTCGTGAACAGGCGTTGATCGACCAATGGATCGACTTCACAACCAACGAGATCGACTCGCACCTCTGGAGGTGGTTCGCCCCCTACTACGGATACGGCATCAAGAACCAGGAGGTACTGTTTCGACCTTCCGCGCCTTCCCTTCGCCTCAAATCCTATTTTGTTTTATTTTTCTACGGGTACGGCGCTAAGATCCAGATGGTATGGTTCTAAGACGCTTTGAGAACCTAATTCTGCCGCTAATGCTACCGCGCCAAGATTCAGGAGTCATTCTCGCCCGTCCGTTTTTCCTTCTCCCGCCTCCCTCCTCGCTTGTCTCTCCTTTAGTGCTCTTTCTCGGCCCCCTTCCCGCCTTTATTTCGCCGAATATTCTGCATCTGACCTACTCTCCGGCCGTTTGCTTTTCCTATTGAGCCGCCACTTCCTTGCTTCGTCCGCTCCTCTCCCTTGCGTTGCCCCATCCCCACTCTTCCCCCGCCCCTTACTTTTCTCCTTCCCAACCCCCCCTTCCCTTGTTACCACAAAATGTGGAGTTTAAGGTTAAAGAACCGTGCACTAACTCTCCTGCTTCCTCACTCCATCCCCCCTCCCCCCTTGTTCTCCTCTCCGCACCCCTCCCCCGCCCTCCCCCACCCCTCCCCCTTTTTCCCCTGCTCCGCAATTCCCCCTCTTTCCCCCGCTCCTTATCAGGTGGAGGATAAGGCGAAGGAGGCGTGCAAACGCGGCCTCGCGTCGCTCAACACGCACCTGGAGTCGAACACCTACCTCGTTGGTAACCGGATTACCCTCGCGGACATCGTCGCCGTTTCGCAGCTGTGGACCGGGTACATCACGATGTTTACCCCCGAATTTATGAAGGAATTCCCCCACGTGGACCGGTTCTGGAACACGCTGATCAACCAGCCCAAGGTCAAGAAGGTCATCGGCGACGTGCAGCAGGCGCAGGCGCAGCCCACGGGGGTGACCACGTGGATGGAAGGGCCAATCGGGAAGCTCCAGGCTGCCGCTGCTCCTAAGGCCGCCCCTGCAGCTGCCGCCAAGGTGGGATGTCTAATTGGGGTGGAGTGGGGTGGAAGGGGGGTGGAGTGCGGTGGAGGGGGGTGGGTGGGGGGTGGGTGGGAGGTGGAGGGAGGTGGAAGGGTTTGGAGTGGTGTGAAATGGGGTTGAGTGGGTGATTTGGCAAAGGGAGAATGCTGTCGGTGCTGGAAGGAATTTGACTGGCTGGAAGTGGCTCTTGGGTGGGTATGGTCGTGCAGGAGGCGGAGGCGGAGGCGGGGACGCCGAAGCACAAGTCGGTGAACCCGCGTGACCTGCTGCCGCCCAGCCCTGATTGCTGACCCCTGTTCCTCATTCCCTGTTCCCTGTCCCGCCTCTGCCTGTTCCTCTCCCTCACAGCCTGCGGCAGCGGCTGCTGCCGCTGATGGCGAGGAGGGTGAGGCGCCGAAGCCCAAGGCGAAGAACCCGCTGGACCTGCTGCCGCCCAGCTCAGATCTCTACTCCCTGTTCCTCATTCCCTGCTCCCTCTTGTCCCGCTCCCTGTTCCTCTCCCTCACAGCCTGAGGCAGCGGCTGCTGCTGCTGATGGAGAGGAGGGTGAGGCGCCGAAGCCCAAGGCGAAGAATCCGCTGGACCTGCTGCCGCCCAGCCCCATGGTGCTGGACGCGTGGAAGCGGCTCTACTCCAACACCAAGGCCAAGGACTTCCGTGAAGTCGCCATCACGGGTGAGAAGGGGTACAGAGGGGTGTGGCAAGGTCAGAGGTATGCGTGGGAGAGGGCTGGAAGCCCAGCCCCATGGTGCTGGACGCGTGTAAGCGGCTCTACCCCAACACCAAGGCCAAGGACTTCCGTGAAGTCGCCATCAAGGGTGAGAACGACCTCAGGCATTTTGGGTTGGGGATGAGGGGCTGGGGATGAGGGTATAAGGGATGAAGGGCTGCAGATGAGAGAGGGATACTGTGTGTCGAAAGGGAGAGGGGGTGGGTGAAGGGCAAGGAGCGATGCACTTTTGGAAGTGTAGCTTTTATACTTTAACACCAAAGCCAGAGACTTGAGATATTTATCATTTTTTCGAAAGTTGCCTCTACAGAATCACAGAAGCCAAAGTCTCTGTCACAGGACTAGACCTCAGGAGTGAGGGGGAAGGGACATGTTGACCAGCTCACTCACCCATCCCCCCCCACTCCATGCACTTACTCTTTCTTTCCCTTACTCACCGCTCCTTTTCCTCCCCCTCTTCCCCCCTATTCCCTCAACCCTACCCCCCCCCAAACTCTCCCCCCCCCCCTCCCCCCCTCTTCCTCCAGGCTTCTGGGACATGTATGATCCCGAGGGCTATTCTCTCTGGTTCTGCGACTACAAGTACAACGAGGAGAACACGGTCAAGTTCGTCACGCTCAACAAGGTCTCGGGCTTCCTGCAGCGCATGGACCTCGCGCGCAAGTACGCCTTCGCCAAGATGTGCATCCTAGGCCCTGACGCGGGCCCGTTTGTGATCAAGGGCGTGTGGCTCTTCCGCGGCAGCGAGGTGCCCAAGTTTGTGCTGGACGAGTGCTACGACTGCGAGCTCTACGAGTGGACCAAGGTGAGAGTGAGGAATAGTGGGAGAGAGCGAGAGAGAGGGGGGCAGGGCGGCTCAGTTAGGGCGTGATGTGGGGCGCTGGGGCAGGGGGGATGGGGTGAGGGAGGCAGGTGTGGCTTGAGGAGGTACGCCTTCATGGTGAGTTTTGCGTGTGTTCCTAGTTCGTCCTGGACGAGTGCTATGACTGCGAGCTGTACGAGTGGACTAAGGTGAAATGAGGGGTTTAAGGTAAGCAAGCAAGGATGTGAGGGATCGTGAGGCAACCTGCGCAAGAGAGACAAGGGGTTGACGACGGAAAAATGTGCACATTCTTACCCTTGTGTGTGTGTGCTGTTGCTGTTTTCTGCTGTGTTCCCGTGGCAGGTCGACCTGTCTGATGAAGCCCAGAAGGAGCGTGTGAGCCAATACTTCGAGGAGCCTGATGAAATTGACGGGCTTGTCCTGCAGGAGGCCAAGTGCTTCAAATGAGAGGGCCCAGAGAAGCAGAGGCTACCCCAGCTGAGTTTTTTAGCTGGTTGATTCTCTGCATCACAATATAGCAATTTTTGGTAGCGGCTAGGGAATTGCTGTAGCAAAAAAGGTCAATCAGAGTGTACTGAACCGCTTGCAGTGCACGTTGAATGACAGTCTGAACACTACAATAGAATTTGGCTGGCATCAGAGGAAATGTATACACTTAGGTAGGTAAGCCATGTAGTTCAGATGGTAATTACGAAGGAACTACGAAAATCAAAGTGAGTGAGTTCGTTATCGTTACAAGCGGAGTAGCATAAACTGCTGTTTCCAGCATTCTCGCTAGAAGATTGGACTTCCACGTTTCGCTCACCAATCAGGGCTCGATCAACCTTAGAGTTACGCGCTAAATATCTGAAAATGTTCGCCAACAGCTAGTTATGCTGAAAATGGTCTTTCTTCCGTCTATCATACTATGTGCTAGTTGAGTTATCTCGCGGTTGCTGATAGTTTTAGTCTGCATTGATCTTGCATATTTTCAGTCTCCTCCTTTTTAATAGTCTAACATTGAGCGACATCGAGCGATATCCATGGCGACGTCGTCGCCAGGTGTTCGCCGGAGATCGTCACTCCCCAGCGCCTTGTCGCAGCCATTGCTCCGCGGGTCCCCGTCTCCCGCGCGACCAGTTCCGCCTTCCGCATGGGAACAACCGCCGTCCGCTGGAGAAACGCGGGAAAGCGCGGCGGGAGGCGGAGAGATCAGCGGAAGCGGCCGACCGCGGTGGCGCCGGCGCCGCGAATCCGCTGGAACTGCTCCTGGCGTCCCCGCGATTGGCGCGTTTCAGACGTATCGCCATCCGTTGATTGATAGAATGCTCGAAGCGCAGCGCGGCATGCCGACGCTGACGGACGCGACTGTTGCAGCGGGAATCGCGGTGACCGCTGGGCTCCTATTGGCTGCGACACGACCTAGGTAATGGAGACGAGGGGAGGCGGCGGACAATGGTACGAACTGACGGACAACTGACAGACAGAGACTGCAAATGACTGAGTACTGACAGTCAACTGACAAAATGTGACACATTACGCATCACCCACTCGCTTATGAATCTCTTATAAGAACACTACACTCGTTGTTCCAATGTGAACAGTACACTCGGTTTTTTTCAGTTGCTCAGAAAGAAGAACATCTGAGGAACTTTGAGACGTGTCAACCCTAGTGGCAGGAAAAGCATTCATGTTTTCCAACATCTCAAAGATTCTCGCAGCATCTCATGTCCGTTGGCCTTCTATCCCCCGTTACTAACTTCCCCCATTCACCTGCCTGGTACCCGCATGTGCCGGGAGCAGCAAGTGAGCGATTGGCTGGTGGACGCAGGCATGAGTGGTGACGCAGGCATGAGTGGTGACGCAGGCATGAGTGGTGACGCAGGCATGAGTGGTGACGCAGGCATGAGTGGTGACGCAGGCATGAGTGGTGACGCAGGCATGAGTGGTGACGCAGGCATGAGTGGTGACGCAGGCATGAGTGGTGACGCAGGCATGAGTGGTGACGCAGGCATGAGTGGTGACGCAGGCATGAGTGGTGACGCAGGCATGAGTGGTGACGCAGGCATGAGTGGTGACGCAGGCATGAGTGGTGACGCAGGCATGAGTGGTGACGCAGGCATGAGTGGTGACGCAGGCATGAGTGGTGACGCAGGCATGAGTGGTGACGCAGGCATGAGTGGTGACGCAGGCATGAGTGGTGACGCAGGCATGAGTGGTGACGCAGGCATGAGTGGTGACGCAGGCATGAGTGGTGACGCAGGCATGAGTGGTGACGCAGGCATGAGTGGTGACGCAGGCATGAGTGGTGACGCAGGCATGAGTGGTGACGCAGGCATGAGTGGTGACGCAGGCATGAGTGGTGACGCAGGCATGAGTGGTGACGCAGGCATGAGTGGTGACGCAGCAAGAATCCTCCTCTGTGCGTTCAACTTTGGATAGCTCACATTTACAAAAATGAATTCCTCTTTTGTGCCTTGTAATTGCATGTGCAGGGAGCAGCAGCTGTGGGACTGGCTAGTGGACGCAGGCATGAGTGGTGACGTGGCAGGAATCCTCCTCTCCTCCTTGCAAGTCTCTCTCTCCGTCCTCCTCCTCCTCTCCCTCCTCTCCCTTGCTCAAATCATCTTCGCTCGAGTCACCAACCCCACGAAACCTCCTTTCTCCTCCTCGTTTTCCGGCTCGTTTCCGCTCCCTGCATCCCCCTTCACCTCCTCTCCGTATGGTTTGAACCACAACCAGCAGCAGCAGCAGCAGCAGCACCCACAACATCTTCAGAACCAGCAGACTGACTTTGCTTCTACCCTTGTCCCGCAAAGATTGGCCAATCATCCTGCGACACCTGGCACATCCCTTCACACTCCCACACCGTCCTCGCCTCTCCCCTCCCCGTCACCCTCCCAGGGACCAGCCTCCTCCTCCCCGTTCCCCACCCTCCCTTTGTACCCCCAGAAGCAACGTCCATTTGCAAACATCTACGGTACTTTCCATAAGCAGCCTCAGACCCAGCATCATAAGCAGCAGCAACTGCAACAGCAACAACAACAGCAACAGCAGCAACAGCAGCAGCAGCAGCAGCAGTATCAACTACAGCAGCAGCAGCTGCAGGAGCCAAATCGAGCGTACTCCCTTCCCAACCAGCCCTCACTCTCTCCCACCCCTTCTACTCCCCACCACCCTTCCCACACCCCCCTTTCCCACTCTTCTCTCTCACACCCTCCTTTCTCTCATCAACCAACACCAGAGGCAACAACTGCCGCTGCCACACCCATCGCTCCCTCCTCCCTCCCAGCCTTCCCCCACCACTCCCACTCCCTCCTCTCCTCCTCACTTTCTCACTCTCTCCACCCTTCCCTGCCTCCCACCCACGCGCCCTCTCTCGTGCACTCGCTTCCGTTGCCCCTGGGAGGGCGGAGAAGGCAGGTGGAAACGAAGGAAGAGCTACAGCAGCTGCTAATGAACCTAGATGGTAAACTGGCAGCAGCAGCAGCTGCTGCTGCTGGTGGTGGTTCTGCGGATGGGGAGGGAACGGGTGGGGGAGCAGGAGCAGAGGGAGGAGATGGAACGGGCATGGTGGGGGAAAGAGGGAGAGCAGCAGCAGCAGCAGCAGCAGCTGCAGGAGAAAGAGGAGGAGGGGATTACTCTGCCTCCTATCCGACAAGCTATCATCAGTTTCCACCAGAATATTTTGACAAAATTCCTCCCATCTCCCCACGTACCCTTGCAGATTCTCTCGTCCCTACCACTCCCGCTCTCCCCCGCTCCTCCTTCCTTGGAGCGTCTTCCTCCCTTCTCCATCCCTCTTCCTTCTCCCCCGCTTCCCCTCTCCGGTCCTCCCCACCACCGCTCTCCACCCCTTCCCACCGGCGCACACAGGCCGACGCCGCTGCACCGTTCTTAACCACCCCTCACCGTTACACCCTCCCTTCATCTCTCTCCACGCCTGCTCCCTCTATAAGCCACCCAGACCTCTATCATCCCTCCTTCACCTTCCCTCGCTCCTCCCTTCCCTTCGATACAGTCACATCGGACTCAGTCACACCTCTCAACGCCCCGTCCTCTCCCCTTTTAGTCCACCCTAGGTTAACCCCTAGTCCCTCTCGAGCCGCCATAGTGGGGAAGAGAGGCGAGGTAGAGAGATTAAAGCCCATGTTGCCTGACGAGGAGGAGGAGGGCTTTAAGCGCCTGGGGGTGCTGCAGTGGAGGGACACGTGGCGCGATGGGATTCGCCAGTGGTTCTCGCAGCACCTGCTTAAGGCGCTGGTGAAGAAGATTGAGGCGGCGCCTAGCAAGGTGCGGTGCGGTTGGGATTGGTGGGGATGGGTGAGGGTGTGTGGAAGTGGATGAGTTGAAGAGGGGTGGATCATGGCGGGTGGGTTAGGGTGGGCGAAGTTTGAGAAGAGGGGAAGGGGGAGGAGTGGCGGGGGGAGATGACACATGACTTCCTCACAATTCCATCCCCAATCACTATTTTCCAATTCTCTATATCAACACTCTCCTCCTCCCCTCCCCTCTCTTCCCGTCCGCTCACTCCCCCTTCACTCTTCCCCTCCGCTCATCCCCCCCCCCACACAGGTGTCAGAGGCAGCAGCTCCTCTTGGCCTCTCCCTCTCCTGACTTTTGAGTCGACTCAAAAGTCCCCTCCACTCTTCCCCTCCGTTCATTCCTCCCCCCCCCCCCCCCCCCCCCCCCCCCCCCCCCCACACACAGGTGTCAGCGGCAGCAGCTCCTCTTTTGAGGCGCCTCAAAAGTCACTGCCCCCTCCACTCTTCCCCTCCGCTCATTCTCCCCCCCCCACACACACACAGGTGTCAGCGGCAGCAGCTCCTCTCGGCCTCTCCCTCTCCCTCGAACCTCTCCACAGCCTCGGAAACTCCGCCGTACCTCCGCCCGCAGGCTCGGCAGCTCTGGCCCAGACCTCCACCCCAGGCTCGGCAGGAGTGGCAGCAGGAGGCGGTTCTGGTTTGGGAGTGGGAGGATTGGGAGGAGTGGAAGGTGGGGGAGTGGAGGAGGTGGGGGGAGGGGGAAGAGTGGTGGTGGTGCAGGGGAGTGTGATGGAAGAGAGGGAAGGGTTGCAGAAAGTGAAGGGAGTGCTGCAACAGCTGCTACATTCGGCCAGTCAAGCAGGTGTGATTATAGGAGCTGGAGTGATGCTAGGAGCAGGTGTAATTTTTGGAGAAGGTGTGATTATAGGAGCAGGTGTGATTTTAGGACCAGGTGTGATAATACAGGGTGATTGACACGTTCCATTACGGGTGGGTGCTGTGCGGGTGTGATCACGGTGCTGTGTGGGTGTGATCACGGTACTGTGCGGGTATGATCATGGTGCTGTGCGGGTGTGATCATGGTGCTGTGCGGGTGTGATCATGGTGCTGTGCGGGTGTGATCATGGTGCTAGGTGGGTCCATATTGGGCAACTCAAGTTTTATTTCCGTATCCTGCTTGAGAATGTCTGCTGCTCCACCAGCTCCCACAGCAGGGTTCATATTCAGCCTGCACCAGCCACATTCCAAGTTATTCCCCTACCCCCCTACCTTTCTACTCCCTTACTTTCCCCCTATTTCTTACCAGCTCCCCCTGCTGGGTCCATTTTCGGCCTGCATCAGCCGCAGCAGCAGCAGCAACAGCAGCAGCTGGAGGCACAGAAGGAAGCTGCGAGGAACCTTCTGGCGGCCATAGCAGACTACGAGCATCTTAGGGACGTCCTTAGAGGCCACTGGGCCAAGGGGCTGCTGCCACGTGGCAGCATGCCATTGGAGTACAGCACTCAGCGAATCAAAGGTAGGGTGACAGGTGGCGGGTGGGCTGGATAACCCTCTTCGACCGTCTCGAGAGATTTCTGGAGTGATTCTGCCAAACGCGTTTCGAGCCTTGCGTTTGAGGCATCTCAAAACTCGAATAATCCTCCTCAGCCTTGCTCTTGAGAAATTTCTGAAGCGATTCAAGCATAGCTCCCTCTGTCACGCTTGCTACCCTCTGCCACCCTTCATTATACCCGTTACTGTACCCTTTGCTACCCTTCCTGCCTCAATCGTCCTGCTTTGCTGCCTAACCCCTTGCTTTTGCTTCTTGCCCTTCCTCCTCTCTTCCTCTCTAATCCCCCTAGCCCTAGCAGCAGGCTCCTGCCTGCGCTGCTTCCAGTGGTCAGCAGGAGGAAGCTTCCTCACGCGAGACTCCACCCGCATTCCCACCACCACCGCCCCCTCCCCTGCCTCTGCTATCCCCCTCAGCAGCACCGCTGCTGCTTCTGCCTTTCCCTCTGAAGCTCCTTCCTCCTCCCTCACCTCCTCTGTCCTCCCACAGTCTCCTCCTGCCCCAAGCTCGCCTGCTCCCTCCACCCCTTCCTCCCTCTCCACCTCTCAACTCTCCTCCATTTCATACTCGTTACAAGCTGCTCCAGAAGGCGTGTTCCTTGTGCCGTGGTCTCCAGACCTCCCCACTGATGCCCATCTGCTGCTCTATCTCTTCGCTGCACACCTGTCGCATCCCCATTGGCTTGACGAATACCTGCAACCGCCACTGCCACAGCCGCAGCAGCAGCAGCAACAGGTTTCCTCAGCTCCTACTACAGTGCCGGCAGCAGCTGCTAGCTTTGCCGCCCAAAATCCCCTCGTCGTGGGTGGCTCTCTCCCCCGTGATCGCCTCTTGCCGCTTTCGTCTTCTTCCTCCACTCAGTCACCGTCTGCCCTTCTGGGCGGCAGGTTCACGGCCATTGTGGGGTCAATACCACCAGCCAATGCTAGGCTGCCGCCCGGCGCAGACGTGCTTGTGATAACAAGGGATGCACCTCCGGTTTTCGTCCTTTTCTGGGAAGGCCAGCCGTCCTTCTGTCTGCAGGTGTGTTCTCTTCATCAATATTCTTTCCAACTCGCTTCATTATCACAGGGAATGTGGTACACTGCCGTAAAACATGGCCTCATTCTCCACCCTTTTCTTCGTTTGTCCTTTGTGTTATCCAAACAGGGGAGGTTTGCATTGTGGGATGCTGTTTTGCTGCTGTGTCTTGGAGTGCATTTGCACCAAGGTGGCGTAATTGGTGATGTTAGCCTGTCTTCTCCATCTCTATCGCTTTCCAGTGTGATGGAGCAAATCATGCCTGCCATTAGCTCTTGAATCAAATATATGAATTATCCGTTTCAACCTAAAAGGTTTTGTGCTTGCCTTACCGATGATACTGGTTTTCTCTTTGCGATTGAAATGCATGGAGCTTGCCTGTCACGTGATTGACCTCATGAAAGCATCGGCACGCACCGCGAACTAGCTTTCGGCGTCAGGCCCAGCATCCACCAATGACACAAATCGAGGTGTCCGCGCTCCGCGCGGTGAACCTGTCGTCTTGTGTGTAGCCAGCACACTTGTTGCGCGGGTCAATGAGCATTTCACGTGATTGTTGAGGCCTATACCTGTCCTACGTGGATTGCGTGGTTCTTGATCCGCGCGTGCACCTCAATGAATGATGTCACGGAGGAGCCGACAGGTCAACTCGATCCACCTTCGCCCCTCCTACCCCCACCAACCACTCTCCTCCTCCGAGACACACTAGCTTCTCCGGCACTCACGGCCCACCGCTCAGGAGGCCACAAGTCATTCCACGTCACCCAGGCTTCGTTTGCGATGACCGTCGATATTTTGGGCTAACGTTGGACGATGGCTCTGTGGCGCTGAGTTGGCTTTGTTGGCGCACGCACGAACCTCCGTTACAGTACCGTGGCATAGAAACCAAGTTCTCCAAGGGGTTCAGATATTTTACTGCCCGAAACCGATGTCTTGTTCTTCTCGGTACAGAACATTACACTACAGTTTCCATGTTCTCAGTGCCCACAGCCAGCTTTCCCCCTCTGGCCGCTGCTATTGCCAGCTGTTTTTGCATGTGCTAGTGCCTGTGAGAGCTGTAATGTTACACCAGCACCACGTCGAATGAATGAAGCTCCACTCCACTCCGCGGTTTGCGGTTCGGCTCAAGGCCATGCAATGCACGAGGGCGTACCAGTTTACACATTTGTACACCTACAGCAGCATCAGACTTTTCACAACAGTAAATTAGAAACCAATGCCGTGTGGAGTCAACAGAGTCGAGACGAGACCTAAGGCATCTGACAGGACGATGGCGGGACCGTAAGATACCAGATCACGTCCAATGACAGACATGAACGGAAAACGCCAACGCCCAATCAAATGCGGCGTAAGATACGGCGTCAAACGGCTTCTGACTGTGTTTCTTAACTCTTTGGTCGATCGCGATTCGCAACCGAAGAAGGGCCATGGGGAAATCCACGACCGGCGGGGAGTGCAGTGCGAACCAGCCTGTGGGAGATGAGGAGGCTGGGAGTCACGGATTCCAGCTATCGCCGCGCGTTTCTGTTGTACCGTACGGGACAGGGACTTCCTAGCCATCCCTCACCACTTCCTCCTTTTCTGGCAGCAACTATGTTGTTTGTTTTCTGCTCCATGCATATCTTGTGGCTTCAAACAATCGTCCAGGCTCCACACACCATCATTGATCTATGGGTGTTGGCAAAAGAATCGCCCTGCTCTCACGACTCCCTCCCGAGTCCTCTAAAGACTCCCCTAGTCGTGTATTTCTTCCTCACAAGTCGTTTCCTCACTTCCGTAACCAACCAAATTCTTCATCTTAGCCTTCTCTCCTCAGTCCTTCCTCAGTCCTTGAACCCACAATATTCGCCTTAGCTCTGGTCTCCACACTATGGCGGCACAAGTAGCGAGTAGACGAGCGGCCACAGGGCATCAACCGGCTTCACAAACGGGCATGATCCAGACTCATCCTAGCAGCAATAACCTCCTCAACGCATCGCAGCAGCGCAATTTGATGGGTCGTCCTCAGCCGCAGAGTCAGCAGGACAGAATACCAATAGCCAGCCCCCGTTACAATCCCGTCCGCAACAACAACTACAAAACACAATCAAATAACTCATTTACTGACAACCCTGAGTACCGCCTTCCCCAGCCGCAGCCGCAAGAGCGTCTACAGCGCCGCCACAGACGCTCCTGCTCCATGACGGACTTTGTCCCCGACATAATCATCCCCGACACGTACGCCCAAGCGCCATCCCCGATTCGGGCTCCATCTGTCGGCAGCGACTCTAGTACCTCCACAGTACCCTTACATTATTCTCCTAATTATTCCCCTGGACCCGTCTCCGCACCTTCCGCTCTGCCTTACTCTCCAGCAGAGACTGTCCCAGATATTAAAACCAAGGCTACCACGCCCCCTCCCGTTACCAGCAGCAAACCGGCTCCTCCGCGCCGCGGTCGCCACGTCAGACGCAGCTCGTGGTCGGGCAATCGACCAATAGACTTCGACGAACAAGCTGGGGTGGAGTCGTTCGACCTTTTCGTAAACTCGGGTTTCCAAACCGCCGCCGCGGACGACGGCGCGTTTTCAGGCGCTCAACAGGCAAGCAAAACAGCGGCGTTCCCCCGAAACGGTCGGAGACCTTTCGACTCCGAAGCGCCGTTCCTCGTCGCATCATCGCCCCGATCATCGCACGGCGACGTCGTCGGGCGAAGAGTCCCCATCGGCCTTCCAAACCCCTCGCTCTCGTCCATCCCTAAGGATTCTACTAGTGGTGCATACGGCCGCAAATCTGGATTTTCGAAACCGCATATCACAGCTATTAACGCGGATGCCGATGCCGACTCAGACGACGAGTTCGTCGAGCTGTACGGGAACGCGAGGCGGCATCGCGCGGAGGCAGCGCGTGCGCTGAATGCGCTGGAGAAACTCGTTTCAACGTCTTCTTCTTCCAACAGCCGCAATGCTTCTGCTACAAGCCCTACAACCTGTAGTACTAATAACAATGGAGCGATTCGTAGTAGCAGTGGGCCAAAACTTGGGTCGCCTGTCGCCCTGTCGCCCACGTCTTCGCCAGCAGCTTCGTCAGCGGCGGGCGATCGCAATCCGCTGGCTTGCTCGCCTATGTCTTCGCGCATCTGCCGCACGATCTTCGGACAAAGCTCGACGCGCAACCTAACGCGATCTACCGACGCTGAGGGACAGATGCCAAGATCTACGTCGATGCAATCTGCACCGTCGATGAAGAGCAATAGCGCCGTGCCCAACAGAGGAAGTACCTTGCCTTTCCGCATGCCTAGCAAGGTAGCTCAGAACAACCAATCAGCCGCCATGAACAAAGCGCTCGTTGCGCAGACCCCTGCTGGCCTGACGGGAAAGTCGGAGAAAGTTGCCCCCCTACGTTCCGACTTTTCTTCGAACGCAAGCGTAACCTGCAGTTCGCCAACGTTCGCTCAATTAGGGTCGCTGACCGCAGGTGGCGATCGCCTCCAGCGCCGGCGATCTCACGATGACGGAGTCAAGTCTTCGCCAATGGTGTGTGGAACACGGGTGTTACGACGCGTGAGCTTCAGCTCAGATGTGGAATTTATTACAGACAGGGAATGAAGAAATTTCTTAATGCAATGTACATCTGTTACATACTATGACAATAATTTCACAAGCAGAAGGGATTTGTAGACAAGAGAATGACATTGGAAAGTACTTTTTTACCAATAAAATGTATCAGCCCATTTGCGCTGATAGGGTGTGACCTTATAAAGATAAATACAAATACTCAAAACAATACCTGATTATTACTTTGGAATGGGTGCATTCCAAGGTAAAACCCTGGGCCAAGGAAATGAATGCTGCTTTGTGATATATTACCGTAACTAGCAGGTGTTATTCTTGTTTTATAAAAATGATATAATTCATGGAGGTTGTAAGGATTTACAAATCCTTACTGAGGCGCTCGATAGCGAGGCCATCCCGAGGGCCACGCGAACCCCTGGTTCGGCCTACATTTTCGCATCCCAACCTCACCGAGCCGCCTCCGCACCAATCGCGACACTTCGCGAGCCAACCCTACCACACCATCCCCGCCTAGCTAGGTTTTCCCCTATTTAGGCCTCGCTACTTCATTGTTCAATCATTCAGTAGTCAATCATTCTCGTTATTCGTTTTATTGCGCACTCTGCAAGTTCATTCATAACACCTGGTATCAGAGCTACTTTCCTAGCCTACCCCGCTTTTTAGAGTGTATTACCCCGCGGGGGAGGGGACGAGGAAGGATGCCTTGGGGTCCAGGAGTTGCGTAGGCCGGCCAAGAGAACTAGTTAGTTGCTCTTCGCGGCGATGTTTTTACGGGCACTCCTTTGGCATCGCCGGATCCTTGCCTCGAACGGTCGCGATCGACCGTGACCTCCCTCCCCTCGAGCAACGGACAGCTGGAGCTGTCGCGACATCGAACGTGAGTTATTTCCGCTGCGTCGCGACGATTTCGGAGTTATTTTCGTGTGGCAGCTGGCGTTAGCGGACCTGCGTCGACGGCTGCACGAAGATTTCGGAGTCGTCGTCTTGTGCGGCAGTTGACGTGGGTCGTCGTCAACTTGCGCGCGACATTTTCGGAGTGTTGCACCTGTTGACAACGGACATGCAGCACTGTGGGCGACAATTTCGGAACTGTTGAAGAAAAAACAAGGGGCAACTGTACGGACTCGCCAGGCGCTAAAGTAATTGCGTCTGAAAAAGCTGGTGACGAGGAGAGACGCCACGAGGACTGCCCGATTTATGCGGGAGTCAACTGCCGTCCCGCCCGACCTGTTAAGTGCAGCGGCCTTTACTGCATTGGCGGGCGCGTCATCAACGTTTTCGGCAGAAGTGCATGTGGACAGACATGAGCTTTGGACCCGCCGACACTTACGGGCTGCAACAAACAACGGAGTGGCTAAATCGCACTCAGCGGAGTGGGACGCAGGCGGCGAGGGCAATTTGGGCCGGACACTCGAAAAATCCTCGTTCGACGCTGCGTGCCTGGAGTTGTTGCCAGCTGTTCGACCGTTTCGAGATCGGTTTCCCCGTCCCGGGAAGTCGTTTTCGGGGACAGCCGCAACAGCCCACGATTAAACGGTGTTCAACGTACTACCCCGCCAATTTCGGAGGTGTGTGGTACAGGCCGCCGGGACACACGAGAAGAAACTGCCCAGCGGCTAAGCAGGGGTTGAAGAACGGGGTGGGGAGCAGATTAAACGCCGGTGGAACCGATCTGCGGCCCTACTTCGCCCGAACCTCACCATCCCCACCGATTACTGGTTCCGAC